ATTAGTCTAGAATCGATTAATTTTATGGAAGAAAACCTTTCAAACAGCTGTAGTCCGTAAACTTCACACGTGTCGGGCTGTGATTGGCTCATGTATTTAAGGATTCCTACAACATGAAATTTGTATAATGAGGAACGTATCTACGCGTTATAGGGGGGTCTACTGTACACATTGATTAATGGTTCATAGAATCCAGTCTCATATCTTTATTTCATTCGCATTATGTATTTCTAATCTTTAACATAGTGTACTGTACATTGCAAATATATAAATACAGTAGAGCGTCGTTTATCCGAATCAATTGGGGTCTGGGGTTGTTCGGATAACTTATTTTTCGGATAACCAATTATGTACAAAAAAATATATTAACCTATCCCACGTTGAAATTTCTCTCTGTTGCATGTCACTTCACGTTGAATTTTCATCAATGTTAAGCCTGAGGAAAACTTTTTAAAATAATAATCGTGGCTATTGTACCATTAAAAATTATTTTTTTATTTTGTACAAACAAAATAAATATATTGAAAAATATAAAAAACCAAAAAAATATATACTTTAGAAGTTGATCTAGTATCAAAAATGTTCAATTCAGCATGATACAGTCTTCAGAAAAAGACCACACAAAAGTGCCAGTGCTGCCAGCTAAAACACACACACACCTACAAAAAAAAAATATTGGAGTAGCCCAATATATAGCCAAAGATTGCAGCGCCACAGCACTAGTGAAAATTTAAATTTGCCGACTGGAATTCTTTCGGATAACTGACGTTTCGGATAAACGACGCTCTACTGTAGTATGTTTCTTTTAATTTCAAAAATTCCAAAAGGTAAAAAAATTAAATAATAATTTTATGCCAGATATTACAAAAGGATATAGTAAATTCAAAAGAAATTCCTGAAAATAATCATCATAATTGTTAAATTTATTGTCTACATCAGTGACTCCCAAAATTTTTTGATTCTCGGCACCCTTGCTAAATCCAGATTTTTCCAAGGAGCCCTATGTCAAATTCTAACAAGTACAATTTGTGAAATAGGGAAATAGCCAATATTTTTTTAATTAAAGAGTTAGGACATTAAGTAAAAAATAAATAAAACACATTTAAGATAACAAAAAAATGTAATTGAACAAATTCAATTAATAATTAGTGGGATGGATAAACCTGTTGATCACCGCACATTTTCTTAAATCTTGGAATCAAACTGGGCACAACCACCCTCATTTCCTTCTCCACATTGATTTTTGTGCAATGCTTAGTTTTTATCACAGTGACAAACTCAGCTTTGCACAAATAAGAAGCTGCAAATGGAATTAAAATTCTCTGAGCTTTACCAATCAGAAGGGATATTCATCTTTTACTAATATTCAAAATTCAGTTAATTCTATGCTACTAAATTTTGTTTTCAATGTACTATTCGAAGACAACTCAATAAGATTCTCTTCTGCAGTAGTAAATTCAGATGGAGCACTGGCATTAAATGGATCTTGGATCCATGCAAATTTATTGATACAGTAGAGCCTCGAAAACTCAGCACTCGATAACCCGGCACTCCGGATAACTCTACCACACCCTGGCAGGGCAAAAAAATCCTTAGTTAATTAATTTTCATGATAAAGACAGCTTTATGCCTCATAAAGTATTTTTCTGAGGTCTGTCTTATCAGGTAAATTACTGTACAGTGTATTCATTAATTTTCATTTTCATGTAGTAAAGGCTCTATGCCTTCATAAAAGACGTACTTTTCCTTTGTTTAAGGATATTTGGGCAGTTTATTCTCTGTTGTATTCTCAAGCAAACAATACATACAAGTACAGTACAGTATTTTCTGAGGACTCCACAATCATACTCATTTTTTTAACGCCATTCCCGATAACCCGGCATTTTCACAAACTTGGCCACCCTTCGGTCCACATTAGGCCGAGTTTTCGAGGCTCTACTGTATTATCATTTTGAAAATATTTCTCAAACCAGGTAATAAGCTGTGATAAATGCTCTTCAAAAATGGATTTCACACCTAGAGAGAAATCAACTCCACTGGAGATCAAAAACTGTTGTAACAAGGGAAAACCTTCTTTTCCTCTGTCTTCATTTATTTTTCTTTTCCATGGTTTTAATTTTTTTTATATAAAAGGTGAAATTTTCTCAACAGACTTTAACCTGTCCTACATTGTTCCAAAAAATATTTGTGTTGATCTCATTGACCTGCGTGGGCAATCCTGAATATTTACGTGTTTACATCGGAATGTTTTTGATACTAGATGTCGATATGCGTCACAATTTTTATATTAAAATGAACTTTTAAAATATAATTTTTTTTTTGTTTCTATATTATTTAATATATTTATTTTGTTTGTGCAACATAAAAAAATAATTTTTAACGATACAGTAAACACGATTATTATTTAAAACAACAACAACAAAAAAATTTTTTTAGGATTAACAAAGACGAAAATTCAACATGGCATCACAGGCAACAAATAAAAATTTCAACACTGAATAGGTTAAGAGGCACATGTTCTCTGCAAAAAGAAATTCAGAACATTCAGCTTTTCAAAAATATAATATAAGTATGCAAGTTTTACCAAAAAATCTCTATTCACAAAATTTTTGGCATACTTGTGGTCTTCCTCTTTAAGAAAAATATAAATTTCTTGTCGCAGTTCAAACGTACAAAACAAAACATTATCTTGAGAAAACCATCACTCTCTCATGGTAATGTTTTCTACTTTCTTGCAATGCTGTACTACAGCACTTCGAGAAAGTACAAAACATGGGATCCGAGCACAAGTCTTTATTTGTGCTTGGATCCCATAGCCTCACATAGTTTTTCTGAAAAATCTTTCTTCAACGGCTGAGCTTTTATAAATTTTACTACATTCACTACATATTCTAAGATCTGGTTCAATGTAGGACTCATATATTTTGATGTGAGTACTTCCCTTTGAATAATGCAATGGGTCAAAAGTGCAATAGGGTCTTGTTTCGAAAAATCCTCCATAATACCCGAACATAGAACGAGCACCATCAGTACAGATACCAATGCATTTGGTCCACTCCAAATTATTTTCAGATATAAAAATATCAAGATCTCGAACAAGTCATGAGCCTTAGCACCAGCAGTGATACTTTTACAAAAGAGAAAAATCTTCTACAATGTTATTACTATCTATAAACTACACATAGCAAATCAAGTTAGCATCATTATTATTATCTGTATCCTCATCCAGTTGCAACCCAAATTCCTTCCCTTTTATTTTTTCAACTAACTGAACATTGGAGGTCCTCTGCTATGTGCTGTATTCTGTGATTGATGGTGTTATTGGATAAAGGCACTTTTGAAAGCTGCTTTTCAGCAGACTCACCAATCATAATGTTCACCATATCTACAGCAGCTGGTAGAATGAGTTTTTCTGCGATGGTATTAGGCTTTTCACATTTTGCAATTTTAAGTACCACCTTGATTTTATGTGTCACCCTTTATTACTGAGTTAATGATTTGCACCAAGTCTGTTAGATGTCACATCTTATCACATTGAATTCAAAGTGTAAGTAAACTTATAAAAATTTTATAACATTTCGTGGTGCCCCTGTGAGGAAGCCACAGCACACACTTTGAGAACTGCTGATCTAACTGAATTAAATAATTTCATTTTAAGGCAATAACTTGTTCACAAAAATATTTGATAATCTTTATAAAGATTTACACATGTATATTATAATATTTGAATGAAAAAGTAAATTTTTCTGAACAAACTTACTTTTTTACCATTCATGATTGGTTAAAGTAAATTAAACACTACATACCATGCATACAATCTTCCAGCAAATAATATGTATTTGAATTAAATACAAAACTGAACGTTTATGGCCTTTTTTGGGGCCTGCATCAAGTGTCAAACATTATGGATCATTAGAGATTCTAATTTTAGAAAGTTTTTTAAAATTGTTTGCTTTTTGACATAGACTCATTTTTGAATGTTTCTGGTTCAGATTTTAAAAAATGTTCCATTTTGTATTTAATTCAAATACATATTATTTGCTGGAAGATTATATGTATGGTATGTAGTGTTTAATTTATCTACATTCCAGCTGTTACTGACTTTTATGGTTATAAATTAAACTAGTGTTTAATTTATCTACATTTCAGCTGTTATGACTTTTATAAAAGAGACAAACTGCGAAATTTTGATGAAATAATAGTAACTGCTGATGAATTTCATTATTTTAAATAATGGCATCTTGGTAACTGTTAAGTGAAAATGGATCAGTTGACAAAATATTAAACTTATTTTTCAAGGATAGTTAAATTGAATTGTCAGCTGATAGTTATTTTTCCAATTTGATCTTTTGTATGAATTATTACAAACAAAATTAAAAACAAAGTAGATTAAATTGTATATTAATGTTTACAGAATAGTCCAGCTTCAGAATCTAATTAAATTTGAGCCTTGAAACACCAGAAAAACAAACAGTAATTAAATTATGATTGATACAATAAACAAAGACAAAATGTTAAAATTCTGAAATTTCTTAAACTAAATGAAAAGTAGGATTTTTGATATAACACTCAGTATGTTTCAAGTTTAATTATTTTATAATTAACCCAGAGATGTAATGTTATTCACAACTTAAACTTTAATTTAGATAAAATCTTATAAATTTAAAAAATAAAATATTTTAAAATTATATTTACTAATTTGTTTGTGGATCAACAACTCCATAGCTGATTAATTGAACTAATAATACTGCCCATTCAGTTGTTTGAGAACTATTTTTTTGAATCATATCAAACATACCACCAACTAGACTCAAGCGTAACTGAAGTGCTTCTTGCATTGACTGTTTCATTTTTATGTCTTCTGCTCCATGTTTATCCTATAATTATAAATTGAAAAATTGTTATAAAAATTATATTTTTACTAGTCTAACACAACAATCATTAATTTCAGGTTTATTTTCCACTTAAACACAACTAACTATAAAGACAAATTAAATATGTAAAGTTTTTCATAGAAGACAAATTCGATATTAATTGTATAAATTCATAAATCAAAGCATCACAAAATATTACATACATGTGATAAAAATCAATCAAAACAAGAAATAAACTGAAATATATATAAAGTCCCTAATATTTATTACCAGTATTATTTTTGAACTTCTATATTTGAATCTGTTTATCATCATAAACAGATTCTTCTGAATCATCATAAACAGATGATTAAGAAGTTATTATTTCCCATTTTAACCAAAAAAATAAAAAAAATCCCAACAAAAGTTTACTAAACAGAATTTTTTCATAGCTAAATTATAAATTATGATAATTTACTTTAAAATAATTAAAATACTATAATTTATAAAATATATATGAGCAAACTTATTTGGACAAAATATAACATAAATTAACAGAAATTTATCATCATTAACTATCAATTTTCTTAAAATTCTTATCCATTATAATCTTCATAGTATACAGTATAAGTTTGTTAATCTGGCATCTATAGGACCAGACTTGTACCAAATTGTCAAAAGTGCTAGATTACTGAACATTTATGTATAAATATTTTTGCAAAATTGATAAATTATGTGGTTCAAATGTTTCAGAAATTGCTGTGCATTTTGTTACTAGTGCAACGCTGCTGTATACTTCCAATTTGTTCATGCACACTCTTTAATTAGCCTGATGATGATACAGGGCATGACTACATTGTGTTAAAAATAGTGTTCTAAGTATGGAACAGTTGTAACTTGAATGTATTTGATGCTTTCAGTACTCCAAATCCTGATGATGATGCTATGTAATGTCAAAAATGTTTGAATTGAAGTGAAATAATTATTGTTTTTTTTGTGTACATATATTGTGTTGTTATATAGTTATCATCATACACTGGCTTATTTCTATATACTTACAGCAGTGATGTTTGGTAAAAGATATACAGTGGTACCTCAGGATACAAAATTAATCCGTTCTGAAACTGAGATCGTATCATGAAAATGTCAAAGGTGAATCATTTTTCCCCATATGATTACATGTAAAACCAAATAATTCGTTCCAACACAAAAAACACACTCAAATTAAAGCTTAGTAGTACATAAAAAAAAAAAAAACTATAGTAAGGAAAACACTGAAAAATGCATTTTGTAGTTGTAAATGTATAAATAACCATCATAGAATAATAATTAATAAAAAAAAATGTAGTTTTATTTGCACTTTACCTTTGAGGATAGATGACGGTGGAGGTGTAAACTGGTGGTGGAAGAGAGGGAGAAAGGAAATGATACTAAAACTTAACTTACATAACATAATGTAACAATAACTTAAAAATAACTTAGTAAAGATAAAAAAATTAGTGTTGTTTTATATATCTTTTTAAAATTTTTATTCACTGCTTTTTGCTTTCTTTCCTTCACTTCCACCAGCACTTTCACTGGATAGAGGTCGCTTGGTAAAATATCTATCCAAAGAGGTTTGGCTTTGCCTACTTTTTAAAATGTTTCTAAAATGACTTAGGCAAATGTCATTACTCCGAGCAGCAATATGGCCAGTGTGAACCTTTTCGGGATGTTTCTTTTCAATAAAATCAGTCATTTTCTGATAATACCTCAAGATTTCCTTTATCGAGTGAGATCCTTCCATGACAAAGCAAACATGCAGACTGAGACCAATGAACAGAAGCGAATAAAAAATGGCACTGCGAACTAATGTAACGTCGTATGGTGAGTTTTTGTTTGTATCATGGAGCAAAAATATGTTTAAATTTCATGTCGAATCCTGAAAATTTCGTATCCTGAGGTACCACCGTATTATGCAAAAGTTGTTATCAATAGCATTAAGAACAGTGTCTGAAAGAGAAGATAAATTAACTGGTAATAATAAAATTGTCTTTTTACCTTCACATTGCCTTTAACATTTAGTATAAAGCCTATAGTTTACCATTCAATAAAGACATACATATTCATCCATGTACTTTTCTGTGCCTTGTAAACTGCAAAAAAAGTTTTTAAAACAAGTGAGGTTCTTTGGATTTTCCTATCACCAGCAATGGTAAGAGTTTTGTCCTGCTAGCATTCACACAAACCAATACTATAATCCATTCTTTGCTGACTTTAAAACATGGAGCATCAGATTCATGCTTTAAGTCAGAGACATTCTTGCAAGTGCCATCCAATTTATCCCTGTTTTGTCTGCATGATACACATTATTTCCAGAGTGTCCTTCATTTTCCCAAATACTATAAAATTTTCTCTTTGAATTTAGTTGTAGCAGCACTATTGTAAGACAAGGATTTTCCTTCAATATAGAGTTCTCTTACACCACAGTATGATTTAAAATTTTTTAGCCAACTAGTACTAACTTTGAAATCAGGCAAACTACAAACTTGCTGCTTTCTCACACAACAAATAACCCAATATCAGATCTCCTTTCTTTTGCCTTTCTGTAAACCATAAATAAAGTGCACTATCAAAGATGATGGCAACTGCTTATCTTATAGTTTCTCTTTGTGCTAATGTCCAAGTTTGCATTTTGATGCAAATTTTAAGGTCTCCTTTTCCCTTCTTGCCTATTCAATTTTTTGTGTTTGAATTTGCTGCTTTACAAATGTTAAAAATATTGGCAAGAGATGTTCCAGTTTCTTCCTTATTAAGACATTTTCAGATTTCCAGCTTTGATTGACTTCATCGTTAACATATTCTGCTTTCTTTTTTGAAGACAAAACCATTCCAGACAAGAATGTCGAATGCTCATTAACTCCACACTCACCAGATAACTCACTTCACTACCTTAATATGGAGGTCTACCAAATTTTCTGACAAGCAAGAAGAAAGAATGTGGAAGTGGCAAGGATTGATAGAGCCTACAACAGATGTTAGAAACACATGTTGATAAGTTAAGCAAATTAAGACTGATACTCAGATCACCAAACTTGAGAGAAAAGGAATATTAGACCATTAATTTCAAAATTTCAAAGAATATATTGCATGCAGTATAATTCTAGAAATATCCCATGCTGAAACCTGTCAAATGTGTGCAGTATATGAGCTGGCTATTAGTGACAAGACCAATTAATTATCTCTGAAATGTAATAACCAGGTCTGTGGAGTCACGTAAAAATCTACCAACTCCGACTTTTCCTTACCATCCGACTCTGACTCCGACCAGGAGCAGACTTGTTACCGAAAGAGACTCAGAAATGCTGATGTCATCACGTGACCTCAGAATAAAAGGTTCAATAAATAGAGTTCTAATAAAGATAGAACGTAGAAACTTTTTATTCCAAAGCTAAAAGACTCCTCTAAGTAATGACACAGTCAATATATAAATACATATTGGATAATTTTTACTTTTCCAGCTGTTATATATAACAGAGGGAAAGCATAATGCTTCGTCAAAAATTGATCTCTTTCAAATTTTTACATTTTTGGAATCAGGACACCTTGAAATTTTGAGATATGCAAAAGATTTGAGGTTTTTTTTCTATGTATGGATGTTAGACTGTTTGTGGGGGCATGATTTTGTTTACCCTGTTTGAAGCCTAATTAATAATTTCTGTGGTCAGAGTGGTTAGAATCGGAGTCAGATGGTTTAACACAGGAGTTAGTTATTAAGCGTCAGAGTGGTTAGAATCAGAGTCAGATGGTTTAACACAGGAGTTAGTTATTAAGCGTCAGAGTGGTTGAACTAAATCATGTCCCCATATACATTCTAACATTGTAGGCGAGAATATCTTAACACGTTTTCCTATACTATTATAAAATGACAAAAAAGCTTACTTTGAGGGTAGAGACAAGTTTTACTTTTTATTTTTTTAAATTTTGAACACTAATAACAAGTAAAATATTCATTAAGACATATGACCTATCACCACTTTTATGTGTTCACCCTGTCGACCTTTAATTAAGAACCAAAATTTAATAATATTAATACCCCTTTATACGCAAGCTACAGTGCCACATTTCATTTCTTAAACTTTACCCATTCTGAGATATTGTTTAATATCTCAGAACAGAAAATAAAGAAATTAAACAAATTAGACGCCAACACACATACGTGTGCAAATTTTTCCTCTTTTAATGACTTTTTTGGGAGTTCGGGAGGTCTCCAAACGTGTAGATTTGCAAAAGAAACATGGAGGGTCAAATTTGACACGATTTCAATATTTTTCCGTTGTATTTACATAAGAAGTTGGGAAGTAAAAAGGAGCCGGAGCCGGTGGATTTTTTGACGACTCCGACTCTGGCTAAAACACCAAAACTCCATGACTCCGACTCCAACTCCACAGCCCTGGTAATAACAATAACCAAACAGAAAGATGTAGATTTAAGATTTCATTTTTGGCAATCCAAGGAAACATAAAAAAGAAGGATGTGGCTATTTGACATTTCGGATAATTGACATCCCTCTAAAATGTGAACTTTGTAATCAAGCTGTGAAATACAATATCTATTTTCCAAGAAATATAGTTTTTAATTCTTAATGGCTATAGGAAGAGGTTATATAAAGCTTTATACATCCTATAAATGTTCTAGCTGGTTTAGATCAAGTCAAGCTGGTCAACCTGTATCTGTTAAATATTTTCATTTTAAAAAATACTCTTCCAAATATATATTCTTTATGCATTTTTGTATAAATTCTATAAAAGTAAGATAATAATTAAATGCATTTCTAAAATAATACTTTACAAGTACACCATTGAGGAACATGAAATTGTAAAATAAATGTATACAATTTACTTTGTATACATGGGTTTTAAACACACTGCACATCTTTACAAATTCTGAATTATAAAAATACTTCTATATATGTATAAGCAATAAATTTCAACAAGTTGTTATACTGTATACATATTTTACAAAACTTAAAATATTTCTTGTAAACTTACATCTTTAGCAATATGAAGACATTGAGACAGCTGAGAATATAAAGAATTAAGCAATCCTTCTCTTTGTTCATCTTGACCTTTAAGACACATTAAAACTAACGAAAGAAATGGTTGATGACTTAAGAGAGATGAGCTGTTTAAAAGAAAGATAAATATAAAATTGAAAATTTGCTTATTTACTCTGGACATATATTCACACTAACTAAAAATAATGCAAATCAAGTAACCAAACATGCATGCTGGAAGAAATCTAACAATGTTTAGTTACTCGATTTATTATATATTTTACAATGTCACATAAAAGATAATAAGCATAATGATAAACTATTTTCATATACAACTAAATATTGTCATAATTTCTTGAAGAAAAACAACAAAATAAGACTAGAGTTTAAGTGTAAAGTTCCTTATACAGTTTTAAAGCATTATTATTATAATTAATAGAAGTTGTATTAACATTTTCTATTAAGAAATCATATATGAATTTATTCCAAAATTTTTGTTATAAACTTACAATTTAGTTATATGAAAATAAAATTTTGATTTGAATTATGATGTCTTCATAAAACTTCTATAGGTAATTCTTTGACAAATGTTATTTAATTTGAGAACAGACCAACTATAAGGATGTCAATTGTATTTGCATTTCACATTATTTTCTTTGTCATTAAATCAAAAATATATAAATGATGTAGAAATTAATAAAATATAAATCATGTTAATAATATAAATTATAAAATAGAAATAAATATTTCAAGAATTTTTTATATGCAAAAAAAATTGTTAAAATAGCAAAATAAAAGGATAGGGAAAAAAATATATATATTGTCATTTTACTGATATTTGCAGAAATAGGTTTATTATTTTTTTTGTTGTAATATCAACATTTAACTTGTTGAGGTTTCAAAAAGTTTTAAGATCTTATAAAGATATATACAATTCCTGTAGGGAATTGGCCTAAGAAACTAATCTAAACCAAAATTTACACATGCACAATTTAATAAAAATTAAAATTTTGCATTTTATTTTATATTTCCAGAACAGCTTGGCCAAATTGAATTCACCCTTGTAATTATATTAACATGTGAAAAATCTTAAATATTTTTCAGATTTTTCAAAGTGCTTTTGTAAGAAGAAGGGGGGAAAAACACATAAATTACACTATATAGCAGTATGAGATTGGAAGGTATATTCAAAATGATCATTGGAAGGTATATTCAAAATGATCATATATTCAATGGTACATTGGTGCAGTCTGCGGATTTCGACCAGTTAGTCCCAGCCACCTTAGCAGCTTTAAAAGCCTGCCAGACTGCACCAATGTACCAGCAAATGGAGTTAGAAGTCATCACAAAGCTTGCTACAACAAAGCACATCTCCGATGCACCAAATAGTCGCAAAAACCAACAAGCAGTAACGAAATTCCTTGCCAAGAACGATCTGAGGCTCTTAGTATCGGACAAGGACAAAAGATTTGTTTTGTGCAGAGAAAATGACTTCATCGCTAGAGCCAATGAGTTTCTGTTACAATCATGCTCTGTGGAGATAAACAGCGACCCAACAACAGCAGTACTGCGAAGAGCAAAGAAAATCATAGCACTTCCAGGAATAGCCTTAACACTACCAGGACGCCTCGATCCTCCATCCAATGTTGCATGCCCTAGGCTATTTTTCCAGCCAAAAACGCATAAAGAGAACTGGCCACTACGACCATTAGTAAACAAAAGGTCACATCCCACTTACCACCTAGAAAAAGCCCTTGCAAAGTTTCTACGAGAGCTACTTCCGGAATCACCGCATGTCACTCCTTCCTCTATGGATGCCAAAACAATCATTAGTTCCAACATGGCAAAAGCACATGGCAATAGCAGCATGTTCTACAAAATGGACGTGATATCCCTGTACCCATCCGTTCCTGTATTTGAAGCTGTAATGCTAGCNACTCGTCATAAAATGATAAATAGTTTGTCAAATTTTTATTCATAAAAATGCAGTTTCAACTGCTTTTTATTTTATAAAATCCGTCTTCTTGAGCCACCAGAGGGCCTTTTAAACAATAGGTAGTCTGTTAGCGCTGGTCAGTAGTAGTCCAAATTCAATACGAACGTTTGTTTCTTGAAAATTTTGATCACGATTTAAATACAGTAATTATTTTTAATATTACTGATATGTCATCAAAAAGAAAATGTGTTGTATTATCATTAAAAGACAAATTAAAGTATTTGTTTCGATTATCCAAATTTTTCCTTATCCGAACTACCTTCATCCCCAATTAGTCTGGATAATTGAGGTTCTACTGTATATGTAAAGGTGACTTCTTACAGTATCATATGATATACAGGCATACACCAGGTTACATACATAATGCATTCTATCAAATAGTGATTGTATCATGAATTGCCATTTTCCATACATTTACATACATTTTTTTAAAAATGCATACATATATCTTAAATTAAATTTTAAATAAATGCATATGGTATAACATTAATAAACAAATAAAACACAACAACTAATTACATAACTTTGTATTTATAGAAAACATATTTTATTTTGATGGTGATTTTAAAAAAAATCTAAGTTTATTTGGACAACTGCTTTCTTCTTTTCATTGTCTATTGCTTTATAGCATGTCATTTCTCACTTAATTCTCCTTCTTACTGTGGCCCACCTATGTTTGACAGGATCTTTAATTTCCAATGTTTTGACTGGTGTTGGATCAACTGTTGTATCATTGTCTGTGTCTTCATTAGTCATCCTTAAATATTATCTTCATGCTGTATCTCCATAAATTTTGCATTTGCTAATTCTTCCTCATGGGTTTCTTTGTTCAATATCAGCCATATCAATTTCTAAATTCAGACTCCTCCCCAGTTGAAGAACTTAATTAGTTATCATATCAGAAGTTTCAATATTATCTACATTATATTTTACAAATTTTAAGATTAGCACCCACAATTGTCCATCACTCTTACATTGTATAAAATCAGCTATATTATTAAACAATAATTAATTATTGACAATTTGCCAATTTTTTAAAAATCCAGGCATTTTTGCCTTCAACTGAACATCTGGATATAAGATGCAAAAACCAGACAGATGGCAACACTTAGAATGGATGAAGTGTGATATCAGTGGCTCCTCAACGCATGCGCTGCTAGTCGTGTGGATTTAAAATATTTCGAACTCCAGCAAAAGCTTGTTGCACGTGACCAACGGAATTACCGAACGCTATAATTTAGAAATTGACAAGAAAAATTTTCCGTTTACTACTTGGAACATTCTGCACGTTTTAATTCAAATTTTGTTCTTTTTTCGTCTGAAGACGACGATATAATACTCGTCAAAAGTACTTGCGATACAAGAAAAATCGTATTAACGCTGAACTCAGTGCTTTTTATCAAGAAGGCCATATTACAGCTTTATACAGAACATAACAATGAAGTACACAAGTTATCTGTCTAATGTTTTGAACAAACATGTTCAAAACATGATGGCTATCATTGTCTACTACCATTTGAAAGTATAAAACAGCATGTTCAATGGTTGTATGGAGTTTGTACCTTGAAATGTTATGCACATGGTGTGCTTTGCTCTCTTTAAGGTCTAACAGCAATGTTCTGGGATCACAGTAGACCAAGTCTTTGAGATAAATCTATGCAAGTTTTGGCTCTGAGGCAAAGTGTGGGAATCTTGCAGGCCAATGTCACTATTTCAGCTTAAAAAGCATTCTAGTGATGATTTTTGAAACTAATTTTCTTTTGCTCTATAAAAAATTCCCATTATCTCATTAAGGTATTCCCAAACTTTCATGACTTTCTGATGAATAGTTATTTTTCGTAGCCATCTGGGAAATTCCAAGTTTAATTTGGGACACCCTGTACTATAATATTGCTGCAAAACTCTATACTGATATAAAAAATTAAACTATATAATAATATTTCTGATAAATCTTCTTATATTAAGCTAAGTGGTTAAATAATAAAATTTGCCAAAAGCTATAGTGTGAATTTATTTGGCATTGTACATAATTTTAATTGTCACAAATTTTTAAATCTTTTGACACATTTATCTAGTCTGGCTGCTGTAAAAACATGTAACAACATCTAACATAATATCTACAATAATACGCCCTTAATCTGCTTTACTCATCTTACTATTGAATGTTGTAAGAAAGATAAACAACTATTAATTTGATTAACTTCTTGGAATTAATTGTATACTTACAATTCAAAAATTCAGTTTGTTACTATTGATAAAATCATTAAAAAAATTAACAATCCTTTTCCTTTAAAAAATTTAAATTATAATTATTTTTTCTAATCTACAAGATATACAAAATAATAATTCATGATTACATTTTTCAGTACACTTTTACTATAAAAAATACAAATATTTATTTTTAATTGTTATCTAATTATATAAATTTGCAAAATTGAAAGAAAAAAATAACCTTTTCTGAACTTGTTTATCTTTATCTTTATTTTTTGAAGAAGAAGAAGACCATGAAGATGATGCAGATGACCAACTTCCACTTTCTAATACTTGTCCTGCAGCTCTCAATACTTTGCCTTGTACTGCTGCAGGAAGCTTTGCTATTAAAGGTGCAATCAACCATATTCTTTCAGGTTTATCAGAATCTCTAAAATTTAAAATACAATTTAAATCAACAATGCTGTGAAGTTATGATCATAGCCATGACATTATTATAAGCTGTTATCATAAGTATGTTTGTTTTTATTAAACAATAACTTATACAGTAGAACCTCGATTATCCGGACCTCTATTATCCGTATTTTCGATTATCCGGATTGTTCAAAATAAACAAAAATTTTACGAATTTGCTGATTTGCACTTGGCGAATTCTGATACTGTTTATGTATGTGATGGAATGAATAACTTTTTTTGTTTCAACGTCTCACCCAGCACAGTGGTCGTAAACTCTTAAATATATTTTGCGTTATAATAAAAATATAACTTGACATATATATTTATAAATAATTTATATTCAAATTACATAATTTCTATGACCAAGGGCGGCGTATGGGCAACGTGGGCCACCACCTATGCCTCGCGGTCCAAAGGGCCTCACGCCTCGAAGGTTTATGCATTACTTAAAAGCCACGAACATGACGAAAAAATTTTACTCATCATAAAATGATAAATAGTTTGTCAAATTTTTATTCATAAAAATGCAGTTTCAACTGCTTTTTATTTTATAAAATCCGTCTTCTTGAGCCACCAGAGGGCCTTTTAAACAATAGGTAGTCTGTTAGCGCTGGTCAGTAGTAGTCCAAATTCAATACGAACGTTTGTTTCTTGAAAATTTTGATCACGATTTAAATACAGTAATTATTTTTAATATTACTGATATGTCATCAAAAAGAAAATGTGTTGTATTATCATTAAAAGACAAATTAAAGTATTTGTTTCGATTATCCAAATTTTTCCTTATCCGAACTACCTTCATCCCCAATTAGTCTGGATAATTGAGGTTCTACTGTATATGTAAAGGTGACTTCTTACAGTATCATATGATATACAGGCATACACCAGGTTACATACATAATGCATTCTATCAAATAGTGATTGTATCATGAATTGCCATTTTCCATACATTTACATACATTTTTTTAAAAATGCATACATATATCTTAAATTAAATTTTAAATAAATGCATATGGTATAACATTAATAAACAAATAAAACACAACAACTAATTACATAACTTTGTATTTATAGAAAACATATTTTATTTTGATGGTGATTTTAAAAAAAATCTAAGTTTATTTGGACAACTGCTTTCTTCTTTTCATTGTCTATTGCTTTATAGCATGTCATTTCTCACTTAATTCTCCTTCTTACTGTGGCCCACCTATGTTTGACAGGATCTTTAATTTCCAATGTTTTGACTGGTGTTGGATCAACTGTTGTATCATTGTCTGTGTCTTCATTAGTCATCCTTAAATATTATCTTCATGCTGTATCTCCATAAATTTTGCATTTGCTAATTCTTCCTCATGGGTTTCTTTGTTCAATATCAGCCATATCAATTTCTAAATTCAGACTCCTCCCCAGTTGAAGAACTTAATTAGTTATCATATCAGAAGTTTCAATATTATCTACATTATATTTTACAAATTTTAAGATTAGCACCCACAATTGTCCATCACTCTTACATTGTATAAAATCAGCTATATTATTAAACAATAATTAATTATTGACAATTTGCCAATTTTTTAAAAATCCAGGCATTTTTGCCTTCAACTGAACATCTGGATATAAGATGCAAAAACCAGACAGATGGCAACACTTAGAATGGATGAAGTGTGATATCAGTGGGGATAGCTAAATCGGATTATGGGAGAGGTGCAAATATATAACGATCATATCTGCAGTTTGTTTTAACATGAAATGGTCATAACCTGGAGTACACTTGTATAACTATATACAAAAGTGTAGATTTAATATTTAGTTATCTCTAAAGAAAGTAAAAATATGCTTATCCATCTAAAAAGATTATTTTAAATTATCACTATTATATTTTCAAAACTATATTTTTTATATCAATTACATACAACAGAATAACACGTAAACAAAAATTCCCAGCAAAAAAAAATTTTTTTTATTGTTCAAACGTTTTCGGTTACAATTTATTGGCCCTCATCAGTAAACAAATATGAAAAAACCATTCTAAAAACGTTTGAGCAGTAAAAATTTGTTTATTTTTTTTTTTGCTGGAAATTTTTGTTTAGGTGTTATTCTCTTCAAGTATAGTTCCAATTTATATGTGCAGTTGTTGTTTTTATTTTTTTCAATTACATACATTAAGAGCTCAACATTTAATTTTAAAAAAAAGCAGTTACTATATGTTGCATAGTTTTGCTACAACCATCATTGAATAATGACTTACTATTGTGATCAAAAAGAATCAGAAATGGTTCATTTAAACTGTATGCATGCAAGAGAGTGCTGCCATCATCTTTTGTCATTTGGTACTTTAGACTTTCATCAACATCTAGCAGCAACCTGTATGTCATCATCTGGTTTTGTTTGCAAATAAATACTTGTTTTGTGCGTAAAAAAACTTTTGCACCAGCAATTTTTCAAAATGTCACATGTACTTGGGCAAAGAATGTGCATTAAATTTTGTTTTCACAGAATTACTGCTACAAAAATGTTGGAAATGTTACAAAATCCTTTGGCAACAATAGTCTATGAAGACTATTGTCGCCAAACAAGAGTTTGAGTGGTAGATGATGTTAGTGGAAGGCAAAGAACACATCTAAAATTAACCATGCTCTGGTTAATCTTTGACACGTCCAACTTTGACCGATGAACAACATGTCACTTAAGTCAGAGATCTGGTGCTCAATAACCTTTGTTTAACAAGTAGAGACATTATTGAACATGTTCTAGTATCATATAAATCTTGTCGAGCAATTTTAAAAAATCATTTGGGCTTGCAATGTGTCACTTACCGAGTCATCCAAAAAATGCTGAATTTTTCCAAAAACATGTTCAAGTGGCCAAAGAAATGATTTCTCAAAGCAAATCATTCTTAAAATGCTTCATTACAGGTGAGGAAACATGGAACTATGCTTTTGACACTAAAACAGGTCAACAATCAAGTGAAAGGCACTCAAAAGGTGAGCAAGACCAAGAAAACCCCATCAAAGTCAGTCAAAAATCAAGGTCATGTTGACTGTTTCTTCAATTGTTGTGGTGTTGTGCATCACAAATTCCTTCAGACAGGTCAAAATGTCAACAAAGAATATTATTTGAGCATTTTGCTTCATTTGTGTGAAGTAATTTGTAGAAAACGACCCGATTTGTGCACTACAATAATACATCTGCTCACAATGCTCTTGTTGTTCTTGAATTTTTTACCAATAATTCAACAAATATAATTCTGCAAGCTCTGTATTCACCTGACATATCAGGTGAATACAGAGCTTGCACAATCATGTGACTTTTTGCTGCTTCCTTGATTAAAATTTCTGTTTCGTGGCCACTGTTTTGAATTGATCGATGCAATAAAACGAAATTACCTGAAGTCCCAAAGGGGTATCATGAAGACAACTTTAAAGAATGTTTTAAAGATTGGAAAAAACATTAGCATAAGTGCATTGCAGTGGGAGATTACTTTGAAGGAGACAAAATAAATTTTCATGAATAAATTCAATTCTTGTTTTATTGAACCATTCTCAATACTTTTTGATTACATGGGTATGTGCTGAATTGATGATGATGTCATAAAATAAAAATGAAAGAAAGAAAACAAAGATAAATTTAAAAAATTATCCTATTCGATAGTTTTTGTTGTCCTCTGAATAAATAATATGGCATAAACTGGCACACTTAAACTGGAACTATATAATAAACCAACAACTTGACATTTAAATGCAAATTCCAGCATATAATGAACAAATAAAATTTAATGTTCAAACGTTTTCAGCTGTCTTTCAAAATGAAAAATACTGTTGAAGCCAAACAGTGGCTTAATAAGCATTATGGAGATTCTACACCAGGGAAATCAAACAGGAATGAATACACGAAACACAAGAAATTTTCAAAAGATAGAACAGTTTTTTTGTGTTTTGTGCATTCATTCGTGATGAGGGCCTCTGAAAGACAACCGAAAACATTTGAACATTAAATTTTATTTGTTTATTATATGCTGGAATCCACATTTAGGTGTCAAGTTGTTGGTTTAAATAATATGGGATAGCCAAGATAATAATGTGCAGTATACTGAATTTAAACAATGTCAACATTAAAAATTTTTAATTCTAACAGCCTATTTAAAGAAACCAATAAGTTTTGTCAAATATAAGCTTTTAAAATATTAATTTAATATTGCATTTGTCATTTATTGTCAAAAACTTTGTTTTGCATTATATTTTCATATTTTAAACAACAATCTAACTCTTGCAGTTGTTGTTGAATTAACCATCCTATAAAATAAGACTTTTAATGATAAATTTTATTGAAACAGTCATTTCACATATAAATATTACCCAAGAAGAAATAAGTTTTGATTCTTAATTACACTACAATCATTAAATAAAAAACATACTGCACTTTGTATAAAGCAAAATAATAATCATAATTATTTTTTCCTATACATAAACTTTACTTACGTATCACATCACTCAATAAGTCTCCAGTCTAACACATAAATGGCAATACTGTTGACAGACCCATATGATTTCTGGATAGTACCAACCTTCAAATGATACATATCAAAATTTCATGACAATCTGACAATTAGTTTACAGGTTACAGTGGTTTTAGTAACCCCAGTTTTGTAATTTTCAAAACAATGGATAAAAAAGAATTTCGTGTGTTGATTAATCATTGTTTTTTGATGGGGAAAAAATACTGTTAAAGCCAAACAGTGGTTTGATAAGCATTATGGAGACTCTGCACCAGGGAAATCAACTATTATTGACTGGTTGTGCTGAATTTATTTGCAGTCATACAAACACCGATGATGCTGAACTCTCTGGTCGCTCAAAATCGGCAGTTGTTCTGGAAAACATAAAAAAAGTCCACAAAATAGTTTTGAAAGACCGTAAAGTGAAGTTGCATGAGATAGCTGACATCTTAAAGATATAAGAAGATAGTGTGTTTACAATTTTACATGAAAATTTGAGCATGTGTAAGTTGCTTTCAAAGTGGGTGCCACGTTTGCTCACACCAGATCAAAAACAACGCGTTGATGATTCAGAGCGCTGCTTGGAGCTGTTCAAGAGAGATAAAAAGGATTTCTTGTGTCGGTATATGACAATGGATGAAACATGGATCCATTACTATACACCTGAATCAAAAAGATCATCAGCTGAGTGGACAACAGCCGGTGAAAGTCACCCAAAGCGACCAAAAACTCAAAAGTCAGCTGGCAAAGTTATGGCATCTGTATTTTGTTCATTGACTATCTTGAGAAAGGTAAAGTATCAATAGCGAATATTACATGGCACTATTGGATTGATTGAGTGTAGAAATCAAGAAAGAAAAAAAAAAAACGCCCTCACACACAAAAGAAAAATTGCTGTTCCACCAAGACAATACCCCGTGTCATAAGTCAATGAAAATGATGGTTAAATTGAATGAATTATGCTTCGTACTGCTTCCTCACCCACCGTACTCTCCAGATCTGTCCGCAGCAACTACTGGCTTTTTGCAGACATCAAAAAGATGCTTCAGGAAAAGAAATTTAGCTCAAATGAAGAAGTAATTGCTGAAACTGAGGCCTATTTTGAGAGCAAAGACAAATCGTTCTACAAAAAAAGGCATCAAAAAGTTAAAAGAACATTGGAATTAATGTATCACTCTTAAAAGAGAGTATGTTGATGAATAAAGTCAAATTTCTAAAAAAAAAATTGTTTTTCTTAGTTAGACTGGAGACTTATTGAGTGATATGTTAGTTTAATAAATTATCAGTAATAAAATATTTTTTACTAAATTCTAAAATTAATTTTTTCCTTAAAAATTTTGTATTATTTTTTTAGTTATAAATTAAGTAAATTTAAAAATATTTAATAGATTACCTATGATTAGATTTTGATGTACTTATAACAGGATCGCCAACACCATTATTACAAATTTTACCCGCATTTTCTTCACTTATTAACTGAAATACATCAATTGTTGCACGAGCAACAGTTTCCAACCATCCATTTACATCATTAGGGCTTTGTGCATTTTCATTTCGTAAAACGTGTTGATACATAAGCTGAAGTTCAAGCCATGACACTTGCAGCGTCCAAAGATCTAAATTCTAAAACATACAATATCAACTTAATATCAGAAATATTCAATAGGAAATTTAACAAACAATGTATATTTTAGAATCATCAGCACATATTTTTTGGTATGTATGCTACATTTCCATTTTTTCTTCACAAACAGTTCAAATTTAGAACTTTTTTGTTGTTCATTTAAGTTTTGGTAATACTAATTCAACCAAACTATTCTCATTTTCAGTCACTATAATTACAAATCTATTACTCATTAATTAATGTAACATAACAAATGTAAAATAGAAAAACCATATCTATACACAATTCCAAAACTTAAAGATGAACATGATTGCTCTGAGTAAAGAATGTCCCAATCTGTCCCAAGAACACCCTAATCACTTGATGACAAGCCTTCCACAACATTGTGATTGCTGCATCACATCTAACAGGTCTCTGTGCCTGGGTACTGGTAAGCACTTTCCATCCATTCTTCACCAATTCTGACTGCTGTATGTATCTTTTTCACAAAAGACTTATTTTTATTGCTTTGATTTGTATAATACTACAAGTTTTTGTGTATTACCCCGTGTTAGATGTTGAGTAATACAGTTCTTGTCATATTTGTCTTCGTTCGTCTATATTTCTCTTTATTTGTGTACAGATGTCATCCATTTTTAAGTTTTGGATATGTGTAGACTCAAGAGATAACACAAGTCATAATCATTGTCAACAAAATCATTTGTTTAACCTGTCCTACATTGATCCCAAAAATATTCGTGTTGACCTCATTGACCTGCTTGGGTGATCTCGAATATTTCCGTGTTTACATCGGAACGTTTTTGATACTAGATGTTGCTTCATGTCACAATTTTTATATTAAAACAAACTTTTAAAATAAAATTTTTTTCGTTTTTATATTATTTAATATATATATTTTGTTTGTGAAACATAAAAAAATAATTTTTTACGATACAGTAAACACGATTATTATTTAAAAAAAAAAAAAAATTTAGGCTTAACATTGACGAAAATTCAACATGGCGTCACAGGCAACAAATAAAAATTTCAACATCGAATACGTTAATGTATAAATCAATACATTTGATTACAAAATGTGTTTTAACCATAATACTATTAATAATTTTATTCTTACTGAAATGTTTGAAAACCCTAAGAATATTGTTATCAAAATTAAAAACAAAAAAAAAATGAACATATTTTTTCCCTCAATTTTATAGTTTTTCTTCTTTTTTTATATTACTTATAGAACTCTACAGAAAATACTAAATTTTGAAAATATTTTATTTAAAATGACTTATTCATTTTTAAATGACATAAATGACTAATTTTAATGATTAAACATACAGACAAAATTCAATGTTTCAAACATTTCATGAAATTGATTTTTAAAAAAAACTGATAGAAGATGACAATAATTCACAAAGAAATATCTGTATTCCAGTTAATAAATTTCTAATAAACTAACATAAATACAACAGGAAAAGGAAAAGCAACTTATACCATGGGAATAAAAGAGGAAAAACTTATTATATATTATTATATAAAAATTAACAAATTTAAAATTTTTATATCAGAATTTCATAATAAATATTTTTAAAACTTCTATATACCTGGAGGATATTTGTGATCATTTGGCGCTGATCAACTGAATCTTCATTTCCAATATTAATTTCTACTTTTGGATGGCAAATCATTTGAAGTAGTTGTCTAGCCTAACATAACAAAATAATTATTATTTTAAATATAATATATTTCAAGTTACGTAACATGACTTTTATCATATCTAATTTTTTAAAAATATCAATAATTTCAGAAAATCAATAGACTTTTCTATTACTAAGCACAAAAATCTTTGTTGGTTTTCTGAAATTTTTTATCAGATTTCTTATTCTTCTTAAAGATTAGAAATTATATTTTAAAATCACAAAAATACTTGTTAATTTTTTGAGGTCCAAAGTTAAAATTTGTTCTGTGCTTTCATTTATATATACAATAATCTCTGCTTGTTTTAATCATGGATACTGTTATTAATCAAATAATAGTATAACACAGAATGTATAAGTTAAAATACACTCATAAAGTTTTGCTTATTGTAATCAGAGTTCAGTTATTACTTTGCACAGATAAAAAAAATTGTATTTAAGTTCTCTTTTTACACTATCAGACACATTAAATTCAACACAATTACACAATTTTTAACTATTTTAAAGTGTCCTTTTAATGCAAGAGTCAACAAACCAAAATTTCTAATTTACTTATTCCTTAAGATCATCAGTCAGTTATTGTTGTCAAGACAAGCAAATCCTAAAATGATTACAACAAATGGATTGTACTGTATTTATCAATTGTTTAATTTTTGAAACTAACCTGCTGCGGAGAAAGTACAGAATTTACTGAAAGATCTTGACTACATAGAAGATCAGGATCTCGAAGACAAAGTTCTCGAATCCACTCCTGACTACATATTTGACGTAAAACGTGTTTAGCAAATTCGCTAAGCCCTGCTGTTTCCATGCCACATGATCCACCACTTATGCCAGAACCAGCTGGTCTTCCTAATGAAGTGCTAAAATTTCATACAAATTTTTTCTCATTGTATTAAAATATATTTTATTTACATATAATAAAAATAAATTAATCCAGATTAACAATAGCATCTTGAATTAAATGTATCTAAAAATTATATATAAAACAAACAATTCTACAATGAATTTCAACCAGAAACTGTCAATATCTCTATTTTAAATAGTATAAGCTTTAAGTTAAAAATAAAACATTTAAAAATAATAGTATCTATAAATAAAATGAGATAATATATAAGGGTTGTTCAAGAAGTTTTGCTCCTGGACTGTAACTCATTTATTAATTGATGAAAGTGAAAGATGTTACATTCAAAAGAAAGTTTGGAGTTCCTGCTTTTGAATGATGTATGCATTTCTCAGATGGCACCACTGACTTTGAAGCAGCTGCATGCAAAATGTCTGCCTACATGGATGTATGGTTAAAACAGTGTGCTGTAATCAAATTTCTGATGGCAGAAGGTGTTCCACCTATTGATATCCATCGTCAAATGAGTGCCATTTATGGGGAAGCATATGTTAACAATAGCATGATCAGGAAGTGGATGAAGACTGTATGCACTGGCAATCCAAGCACATTGAGTCTGAAAGACAAGGACTGGAGTGAACATTTTAAATCTGTGTCCACTCCAAAGCAGGTGGAACATGTTAATGAACTGATATATTTTGAAAGTTTGGAACTTTCCTCCAAACTTCCATCATTCCCCGAGATGAACAGACACAAGAACGTACAAATGACCCGAGACCCTTCTTGACCTGGACCAAGCCTCATCAAAACTAACCATCCAGGTATTTATCGACACGCATTTGAATTTGTAAATGCTCTTGCTCTGTTTGACATGCTTGTGGAATAGACTCTTCCATTTATGCTATGCCTTTGTAAAGTTGTTCTAACTTTTACTAAATAAATTGTTGTTATTTAATGTTAATGCGTAATGGAGTATGTTATTTCCAGCATGTTGTCTCTTGACTCTCTCCTCCATCCCAAATCCAACTGTTCTCATATGCAACTGCTCACACGAGACTTACAGACAAATTTGACAATCACTGTAGTGTCAGTCCTAACTTGGGCATTGCCGATGAAATGGCTGCATAATATTGTTGAATATTTATACCAGGTTGTTCAATAAGTTTTGTCGTTTGATAAGAAAAACAAGATTTTATGGTTTGAAATACATTTTATTATTCAATATAATCTCCCTGAACTTCAATACACTTGTTCCAGTGATCTTCTAATTTATGGATTCCATCCCTAAAGTGAGAATCCGGAAGACTGTCGAAATACGCTTCCACGGCTGCTATTACCTCTTCGTTCGATGAAAATCGTTTCCCACGCATGAATTTTTTTAGATGTGAGAACAGCCAGAAGTCAGAGGGAGCTAAATCTGGCGAATAGGGAGGATGTTGCAACAATTCGTATTTTAATTTACTGATTTTCGCAATGGTTTTTTGAGCTGTGTGAGAGGGGGCGTTGTCTTGATGAAAAATGATTTTTTTCTTTTTTAAACCAGGTCTTTTCTCACGAATTTTTACATCTAGCTGGTCCAAAAGGTTACAATAATAATCTGAGTTTATTGTTTTACCAGTTTGGAGGTAATCCACAAACAAAATTCCTTTTGCATCCCAAAAAACTGATGCTAACACCTTCTTGGCCGATTTCTGGACCCTAACACGCTTCGGAGCCGAAGTACCGGGTTCACACCACTCTTTAGCCTCTTGTTTTGATTCAGGATCATGGTGGTAGACCCATGTCTCATCCATAGTGATGAAACGACGCACAAAATCCTTTTTATCCTTTCTAAAACGCTCCAAATGTTGCTGAGAAAGTTGCATTCGAATGTGTTTTTGTTCCATAGTTAACGAATGCGGCACCCATTGTGCACACAGCTTTCTGTAACCCAAAACTTCGGCCAAAATATTGCTCACACTGCCTAACGAAATCCCTAGGGCTTCTACTAAATCTCTCTCGGTTAATCGACGATCTTCCAAAACCATATGCTGTATTTTTGCTACGATTTCTGGTGTTGATGCACTTTTTGGACGCCCTTCACGTGGATCGTCTTCAAGACTCGTACGACCACGTTTAAATTCAGCAACCCATCTTTCTACTGTTCTGATTGAAGGTGAAGAGTCCTTATACACTTTTAACAATCGTTCATGAATTTGTTTTGGTGCTACACCTTCCAAAAATAAGAATTTTATCACTGCACGATATTCGATTTTTTCCATCGTAAAAAAATACAATGACACATCGACTTTGAACAGCTGCAAATATACAATGAGTTGACGGATCTACTTGAAACTTGACACATGTTTATGAAATAGTAGTACTATTTATAGAGTAATAAAGTGACGCTCCTAATAGCGCCACCTCTTATTGAACGACAAAACTTATTGAACAACCTGGTAGAATGCCAATAACAACAACTATACAAAAATATATTATGCTTAATATTGAAATGTTTCTTCTTTATTTTGATTCATACCAAGTTGAATGGGATTTATTCACTTTTATTTATTTGAAGGAAATTTATTTGTCTTCTGCAACTATTTTTACAGAAATTAATTTTTTTTTTCAGTTTTGGATTTCATTATTACTAATATTTAAGACAACAACTTACTTTACATTTAAATTTAGGTAAAATTTACTTGTATAATAAACTTTCAACTTAATAGATTAATAGAGTGAAAATTATGTTAAAGCTGAATACAGTAGAGTCCTGCTAATCCAAACACTGCTAATCCAAATGTCCGCCTAATCTGAACATGTTTTCGTCGACGGAGAGAAAATTTTCTTTAACAAGAGGTCCACTTAGGGGTGTTCCCCTTTCTCTTTCCTGAGTGAACCACGTGAATAAAGCTTCATCAATCTTAACTAAAATCTTCTTACGTGAATACTGGAAAACATATAAATTAACACTCCAAAACCTTTAAACGTCCAGTAGTAATCAATTTAATAATAAACAAATGTTTTCGACCGTACTTTCGGTCTTCATCAGGTTTAAAAACCAGTTAGATTCGAACCTGTGCAAGCGTTCCTTGTGCTGTTCCATTTTTCAAAATTTTAATTTCATAATCATTGTTCTACACTTGCACAGGTTCGAATCTAACTAGTTTTTAAACCTGATGAAGACCGAAAGTACGGTCGAAAACATTTGTTTATTATTAAATTGATTACTACTGGACGTTTAAAGGTTTTGGAGTGTTAATTCATCAAGCTTGTCAAACGTTGAGGGTCTTGCTGTTTATCGATTTTCAACTGACTTTCTGAAGTAGACACAGAAAACTACTTAATCTTTGTGCAGTTTTTCCAGTTGGTTATTGTGGCCTTGCTCACTACAAACTCTAATGCCAATTTTGTTGCACTTTCACCCTTGTCCAGCCTTTTAAAAATGTCCAGCTTATCTTTCAATGTACACATTTTGTGTTTCTGTTTCATTGCCATTATAGCAACAGACTAAACTAAACTAAAATAATAAAGAGCAAAGAGTACATCCAACATCCACAATTAAGCACGCTAACTCACACAGTAGCACCAGTCAACTGATTGGAATCCTGAACTGTGTATTAAAAACAATGTTTTTTACAGTTAAAATAATTTTAAGATAAACAATGAAGGCAAGTTGCCATTTCAAAATTACAAAAGTTGTTTCTGTTAACTGTTTGCAACCCTGTATTGAGTACAAGCCAGATGAAATAAAGGATAAGTTGCTGATGTCATTGATGATGTTAGATCTATATGAACCAGACTGGTTTTACTGCTTGCTTCTGCATTATTTCAATTATTTGATTAATCCGAACAGGACTCAGTCCCAATTAGTTCGGACTCTACTGTACTTGTAAAAATGTATTCACACAAATATGTATTCACCTGACAAGTGATCAACATATACAATTTTTTTTATTTGATCTTCCTGTATGTTTAGTATTTCAAATAATCCATTTCAATTAACTAATATATGGTCTTATACATAATTAATTAGTGATTAAAAATTTATTATGAATGTTATCATAAAAAAAAATATACAGTTACAATATGTAAAGAAATTTATTTAAAATTCAATAACCTAGTAAAATTAATATCATTACTTACGGCATCGATAAATCAAAATCTGCATCATCTATTGGTCCTAGAATATCTTTAATGCTAAGTTCACCTTTGTTTTGAGTAATATCTGTCCTTGCTTTTGTCTCACTGCCTTCTGAATTTGAATCACTAACTATTTATTATTAAAAAAGTATAATATTAAAATAAAATTATATATTTAACTAGTATTCTAAAATATATTTAATTGTAATAATCCATAAATACATACAAGAATAAACAGCATCTAAAATATTAGTGTTTAATAATATAATTATATATTGATATATAAAATCTTAACTATAATCTTTAGATAGAACTGTAAACATACCAATAATATAATTAGCAAATTGCATAAATCATTACTTTTATTTCTAAAATATTTTTAAAGAATTAGAATGTTATCTGTATCATTACTATAAAAAGAGGAGTTCTAAAATGTAAAGAATATAAACCTCCAAAAATAATTTAAACATCAAGATGCATTTTAAAATATTAAATAAGTTTAATCTATTATCATTGATAATTAGATTATGAATTGTATATTTGAGCATAATATAAAAAATGAATTATATATTCATTTTTTATATTTGAAACATAAAAAACAAATTTAAATTTTTAAAAGTATATGATGGCTTGCAACAATTTGACAAAAAGATATTTATGACTGACTGGATAAAACAGAAATACAGAATTTTATTTGTTTTCAATTATTTTCTGATCTTTCTGAAAAACCTCAGCCCTCTCATCATTTATTTCCAGCTGAACTAATTTCACATTAGCCTATTCTGTAACAAAGTTTTGAAGGGCTCCCTGTAGGAATCCAGTCAAGGACACTTCTGTAAACAGAATAATATCTCATAAACTAAACAATGTATGACACTGAAATTTGGGACATACAGAGAAACATGTTACAGGATTTTTCAAATCTTTCATAAATGCTATTCTCACATTATCATATGAGAATTCCCTGCAGAAGTGAATATCAGTACAGTCAATTCATGTTAATACAAATTATTAGGGAAACTAGTAGTTAGTTCACTTTATTGAAAATTCGTATTAGCGTTTTTCATGGTCAAGGTTGTATAATTTGTAGTGTTAATGAATAATAAACAATAGAAATCTCTAAATTATAGGCTTAATATTTTGAATTAATTTACTGAATAAAATTAAATTTATTTACAAAAATAAATGAATGCTCTAAATGATTTTCAAATCAAACAAAATGAGGAGGAGTCAGTATTTGTCACTTAAGTATGGGGCAGTATATCAATGGTTAAACAAAACAAAGCTAAAAGAAATCCATGGTTTTTTCTGTTGAAGATTGTTTGAAAAAGCATAAAATATTTTTTGGTGTCAAAAGATTAAAAAATGTAGTAAAATTTGGCACAAAGCCAAATCTGGCATCATTGCATGCACTCCCTGATGTGCAAACTAGCTCATGTTTGCATGGGACTGCATCCATTTAAAGGGGTGGGCATCCTTAAACTTTAAACCTTATATTATGAATACAGTAGAATGATCTGTTAAAACCAGACATTTGTATTGCTCTACAATTGGAGGCTAAATCTGTCTTTGCTTACTAGGAAAATAAATCTATTCTATACAAACATTTATTACATTACCACATTTTATTGTTCACATTGAAAAGTGTAAAAAGCAACTATTATTGGAAATAGGATTATTTCTTCGAGTTTTGAAAATAATTTACAATTTGGTTTAATAAATTTTGGTAAAATTTTTTTGTTTGCTTGTTCATATGAAAATTAACATTATGACAATGGCATTTTCCAAGTGTAATGGTAAAATTTGCTTTTTCAGTGTTCATTTTAAGGTGAGTTAACTGTATTGCAAATGTAGAAAAAAGTATCCATGACAATTTATTATTCAGAAAACTTAATGTCAGATGGGAAAATCATGATTTTCAATCAAAAAGGTCAAAGAAAAGTGGATCATCACAAAGTGACTCATCAAAAAACTATCATCAACAAAAATATTCAAAATAAAAATCTATCAGAATGATAATGACAATGTTCTGAAATGAAGAAGATAAAAGCACTAATTTCTTGATACTTGAAAATCATCATCATACTGAAAAATATATCAACCTCCTATTTACAACAGTGAAAATATTACCACTGAAAAAAAATCAGAAAAAAGTCAAGAATTGTCTCATTTTACTTTCCCAGTTCTATTATATATAACAGAGAAAAAGTATGGCAAAATGACAGCCCCAGATTTTTACATTTTTTAACTCGGGATCTTGAAACATCAAGAAATGCAAAAAAATTGGGGTTTTTCTTCTTATGTATGGAAGTTAGTGTATGTGTGGAGAGGACACAATTTTGGTCATTCTCTTTGAAGCTTAACTCCATGCTTTTTGTCAAAAATTTCTGAAATTTTTCAGAAAGGTTTGTTTATTAGGGGAATTGATGCTATTAAATTTTGGTGATTAAAGGTCAAGGGGGTGCGGAGATAAAGGGGATCGTGTGTCATATCTCCAGTAGGATTGGACTTCAAGACAATTTTACTCATTATTAGCCCTACCCTCAAAATTAAGCTTTTTGCCATTTTATAATAGTTAAAAATATAAAAAAGTATTTTAAATAAAAATATCATAACAGATTGCACCACCAAATGTTGCTGGGAAATTTAAGCAACTCATTGCTAGATTTTTTTTCTTTGTGATATATTAAAACTGTTTTCACTGAAGTGAAAGTCTTAATACATTGATGGGATAAGTGCCAGCAACTTAAAGAGAGACCACTTGAAGGAAATAATGACGATAGAACATTTACCTTTTTTAGATATTATCAAAATCCCAGTTAGGAATTGAATTTCCCTCATAATAATGACAATCTCTGTTATCAGTATATCTACTTAACTATTCAAAAAGAAAACAGTTGGCCCATTAGAAAAATGTAAAACACTTATCAGTAAATAACAATTAAATTGAAATTTACTTTTATTTTAGCATTTATCACTACATTTTCTTTAAATTAGTGTTTGAAACACCAATTTAAAGAAATTTACTCAATAAATTATTTACATTTTTAATATTCATAAACATCAAAATAATAAATTATTTAGGAATAAGCAGTTGATGGATTCAGTCTAGAAAAGATCTGCATCCATCAATTGTTTACATAAACTCTTGTTCATCTAGGAAAGATTTATGGTAATATCTATAAAATTAGTAAATAGTTAATTGATTTTAGTTATAATTTAATATTTTGGCTCATTTAATTTTATTATATTATAAGACTTCATTGCATTATATTAAAAAAGCTATTTTAGCTTCAGAAGAGTTTTGTCTGTATAAACATTTATTGATATTATTTACGTAAAATAAAAAATAAGAAATTATCATCTGATGCAGAATACAATGATATAAAATATAACATAAATTAAGATTATTATTCACATAAATATTGTACATACTCAATTCTAAAATGCCTTTTAAAACTGCTAACACAACTTCCACAAGCATTCTATTATGAGCAGCTGACAAAAGTTGGCGATCACAAGGTGATTTGATTAGATACATGGGACGGGCAGTATTAGATGCTAGTAGAGGTCCTGGGGATGTTCCTAAATGATAAACAGGCCCAGAAGGTAGCAAGTAAGATACACAATTTATTTCTACTGTCTTTAAAAGTCGCAATAACAGATGGCAGGTAAGACGAGCACCAGATTCGGCATCTTGATCTACTCCTCCTGCTATGATTTGATATATAGTAATGTTAATTACTAATATTATATAGTAAATCATTACAATACAATAGTACAGATATCCCCCATATAACACGGTAGTTAGCCTCTGAAAAAGTGCCATGTTATGTAAATCCACATTATATGAAACAAAAAACTAATACAAAGCATGAAGTTAGATTCCAAAAGTTAGCAAATGTACATTATTATTTTTCATAATTAAAAGAAATATGTTTATTAAAGCAATTAATATCAATAATTAACTAACAATTAGAATCAAAAGTACTGCATTTATATTAATTTGCATTACTGCATTTACTTGCATTAATATTAATTTTTTCTTCACTGTTAAACACCATTAAATGAGATGTTTTCTTTTTGGTGTTTTGTTTGTATAAGGCAATGTGACACAATGGTGATCTACCTCCTGGGAGACATTCGTGGGGAAACTGGCCCCCATTTAGGTGTTACAAACATAAAGACACCCCAGAAAACTCCAAGTGGCCAGCCTGTTGGCAAGGTGCAAACCCACAGCCAACTACTAAGTTTTGAGTTGAGTGATTTTATCCATTTGGCCACTGGTTGATGCTGTTTTCATTTTGGCAAAATATTGTCATTTTCTGAGCTTTCCTGTAGACCTTAATCTGAAGTGTCAATAACATCTTGATTTTTCTCTACTTTTTTCATAAAATCTGATATTTTCATTTGCTTTTATTTGTCTAAGAGATATTTAATAGTTTAATCTCTTTATGTAGTAACTTTTAATTTAATTTATAAAAGCCAAACACAGTGACAATCTTTCCAGTTCATTTAGAGCACTATCATCAATGACAGCAATACCTGGTTTATAGAAAAGCTAGAACAAGGAAGAAAAAAATTGTACAATCAGTTGTCATTAAAGAAAACCAGACAAAAGACACATAACAGTGATAATTTCAATATTCTAAAATTCATGGGCAAATATGAGGTAACACACATGCTTGCTTGAATAGAAAAATATTGAATGATGGTATTGCACTTAAAAATTGTGACCTTTGTACGAGGATGTCACCAATTCTCAACTATGTCAGAGTAAAACCACACTGTAGAAATATCGTGTTGTACAAAGGATACCTGTATATTACAATTTGACAAGAAACTATTTTAATAGCAATTTACCTGGGCATGCAGAGCGTAAAGAAGGTAAAGCAACATGTACAACAAAATCTTGGAGAGAAAAACATCGTCGTGCTACTAATATAGATGTAAAAACAGCTAAATTGTCATGGATGGATAAATCACCTACCTAGAATATAAAGTAGCTTTTATATAAAATAGCTTAAAATATTTTATATAAGAACTAAAAGCATATTATCTAAAAAAACTGATAATAAGTTATATTTAGTAATAAAACAGAAAATATATCTTAATACTTAAGAAATAAAATTTTTGGTTAAAATTTAGAAAATTATTTTATTTTCCATATTTTTCACCATACATCTTCCCAATAGGTGCTTGACTCAACTGACAGCAATAGATTTTTGACAAATTATACTGAGACTTGTATGAGGCTTGGGCAAATATGAATTATAATTTGTAAATAGAACAAAAACTGTGATCCACTTACCAAAACTGAAGGTTCTACTTTTCAACATAATCCTCCCTGTCTGCAATATACTTGTGCCAGCATCTGGAAGCTTGCAGACACAGCCATTCCCGAACAGCCTGTATCAAATTCTCATTACTGTCAAACCTTTTCCCCACTCAGATATTCCTTTAGGGGGCCAAAGAAGTGATAATCAAAGGGTGCAAGGTCCAGATTTTATTGAGGATGTGGGATAAGGTCCCATTTCAGTTTCTGATAGGATAAGAATACAAGATAACATGCATCCACATGTGGCTGCTTGTACCATGATCACCATCCAAAAACTGAAATGGAACCTTATCCCACATCGTTCTTATGGAGGATCTGGAACTTACACTCTTTGATTATCATCTCTTCCTCCTCCTAAAAAAAAATATCTGCGTGGAAAAATGTCTGGAAATAATGAAGACATGATACAGGAAGAGCTATAACCAAGACTCCTGAGCAACATCTGCAAATTTCCAGATTGATCAAGTGCATTGCAAAATCAGGAAAATTATGTTGAAAAGTAAAAACTTCAGTTTTGGTAAGTGAATCACAATTTTATTTTATATTTACAAATTATAATTCTTATTTTCCCAAGTCTCATAATAAATCACAACTGACTTCTTATAAGGTGCTTCACAAAAGTATAGAACCGCTGCAAATTTACTATACAAAGGTTAGGAATTACACATATCATGTAGCTACATTTCTTATATTGTTCAGGATTTATGAAAATATAATTTGTCAAAACTCATAGTTTGAGCCTATATTGCAGCAAACAGCAGAAATTGTAGAAAAACTGATTTTAGTTACCACAAAGGTATAGAATCAACTAGTAAATGAATGTAAAAAGAATTATATACTACAAAATAGTTTAATTTAGTAATTTATTTGCACACCTCCTTTACTGATAACATTGAAAATACAATTTGGCATGCTATCAACAAGGTTTTTTTATGATCAATGCCTCAAGATAGTTCCAAGCAGTGACAATTGATTGTTTTAAGTGTTCAATGTCAGCTTACTGATGATTTTGGTCATAAATTTGGTCTACCAAGATCCCAAAACGTTTTCTATAGAGTTGCAATCAGGAAAACAAGCTGACCAATTCATTTACTTTCAAACTGCTGTTTCATATCTCATGATACATGGATAAAAGCATTGTCCTGTTGAAAAATAACAGAAATTCTTCTGAATCTATGTTTGTATGGGAGCAATTTGTTCTCCAGAACTAGTTGATAGTCAGCACTGTTCATGCAACAGGTAACAAATGCAAAATCCAATTTTCTCAATGCAGAAAAGCACCCCAAACTGTAACACTCCCACCACCAAAGTTCCTTTGCAAAAAGTACTTGAGCTTTTTTTGTAAATCATGCCAGTAGAACGCTAAACCATCTGGCCCATCCAAATTAATTTTTTTTGGTCCAAAAAGATTATCTATACGACATAAAGGTTGTTATTTCTTATGCTAGCATAATAGGTCTAAATGAAACAAAAAACTTACCTTATTTCATTGGTTGGCCATATTTTTCCTAGCAAAATTGAGTTGGGCAGCTTTGTGCTCAGGCTTAAGAACAGGGCACTTCTCACTTGAGACTAAACATTGTTGTTGCCATGTAAACGATTTTGTGATGTACTTAAATACCCGAAATATTCCAAATTTTACGTGTGGATGCTGTAGAATTAGAAGCTGCATTAATAATTCATCTGCGGTCTTGCAGGGTAAGCTTTGAAGGACATCCACTTCTAAGCTTCGGTCCATAATTTGCAAGATTTGACAAACAATGCTGAAAAATCTTTTTTGAACATTTGATGCTGTTTGCTACTGCCTGATAACTTAAATCAGTGCTTCTCAAAGCTACAATTTGTCCTTTCTTAAAGTCTGTTAAATGGGTACCACAAGAAATGATGAAAAAAAAATACTTTCACACTTCAAACTTGCAAGAAAGATGGCAGTTCTATACTTATGTGGCAGTATGTAAATTGACTTCCTTGCTATTTCTCAGTCAGCCACAAATTAGTTTCCTAAAATTATGTTTTTATAAGTTAGGTGCTGAATTACACATAAGAAAATCTATTTCTAACTATTAGTGCATGTTCTGACCTTAAAATACCAATTTTTTTAGCAGTTCTATACTTTTGTGGAGCACCTTATTTGAAATTCAACAAAAATGACTGCAATAAAAATTTGCCAGTCCAATAAATGTACTTCAAAAAACTCACAAAATTTACAAGAAATGTTAACATATATTTACATTTTCATCCTTTATTATGTCTCAGGAATTAACAGTCTCATGCCAGAGTCAAGTTTTTACTTTAGGCTTTCATCTACCTTAATATGTAAAACATGTTAAAATTAACAATTTTTTTTAATATATTTTTTATAATTGTACCATTGTCAAAATGGAAGTTTTATAACATGTTTTGCATATTGAGGAAGATGAAAGCCTAAAGAAAAAAGTCAACTCTGCCATGAGACTTAGTTCCTGAGGTGTGATAAAAGACAAAAATCAGAAGACATTTAGTGTTTCTTGAAAGTTTGAAAAAAAAAGACTGATAAAAATGCTATTTATATTGATGTAAATTTGAGATATAATAAATTAATTTCAATTTACTATACCCAAACTATGAATGTTGATAAAATGCAATTTCCTATGAATAACTCATAGATTATCTGTGTTTAAAAGTCAATTTGAAAGCAGGTACAGATCATACAATGACATGGGTTATTTGTTGATTTTAACTTGCAATTATGACTCATCCAACAGATTTTTTATTGTATAAGCCTAACAAAAGCAACTTTAAAAAATGCAAAGTCTTGTATTCACTTCAAACATATCTGTCATTATGATTTTTCCCAAAACCTCCCCTTTCATTTTTTTTGTATGTCAAACAATGCTTTAATTGATGATATTAGATACTCCTATTTAGATTTATACCTTTAAACCAGATATATTTTTAGTAATTCCCACCACTCTATATAACATCTCTCAGAAAACTATTTAGGAGCAGACTAATAAATACAACCAACTTGATAATTACTTCAAATATCAAAGAAAACATCCAGGTTCCTTTATTGGTTGGGCTATTAAGACTAAATAATTACTAAGTAATTTGGCTGGAGGTAGGCAGTTAGGTCATCATCTCGTTAAATTTATTTAGTCTTAATAGCTCAATAAAGGAATCTAATTACTATATTAGAAGAAAACTGCTGATCTTATCAAATGCTAGCTGTTTAGAATAAATAAGACAACTGATGCTATGCAACTGACTCTTAAAATTGTGCCATTAGACATTAAAATGTTTTCTATTTAATTTTTTTGTTTATTTTAATATTTATTTTTGTCATTCAGCTACCATTTTCTATTTTCGACAATGCACTTTAGGTGGATCCATCTCAAATATTTTATCTTTTCCATTTCACTCATTCCCATTTTCAACAGTAATTCCAGAGGTTTAGGTATATAGTAGTGCATATTATGAAAAGATTTTATTTCTATACTAGAATTTTTTTTAAGGGTATGCACCAGTGCAGATTATATACAAGAAATTATGGTAATTTTTTAAACAAATTTTAAATCCTTAATTCAATACATAAAATATAAATTAAATCAAATTTTGATTCCAATAAAAAGTTTTAATAAAAATGAATTTTTTAAATACATCAAATTTAAGAATCATTTAATTGATATAATAATAAAAAATAATATAGAATCAAATATAAATAAACCAGTACAATTATTTGTATATTAATAAGAGAAAATGGTAGTCCAATTTATTTGGAATACTTTAGAAAATTTCTATTATTTACATATTCAAAACTTCACATAGTAATTCATAAAACTTATTTTCAAATTCCTTCTAATAAATTTTTGTGAAATAATTAAGAAAGATTACATCTTTTTTTTACATATTTGCTTTAAACAAAATATAAATATCTTTTTCATCATAAATTAATAGTAAAAAAAGGCAAAATGTAATAGTTTTATGGAAAACTATAGCACATATTGCCTTTCTTTCACACATTTTTCCCCCTGTAGATATCAAAACTGCAACAGATGCAATCAATTAAATAAATAAACATTAGTAAATCTATCTTCCTTTTCCTTATAAAACTAAGAAAATATTTCATTTGAAAAATTCACTATTAGTGTATATAGGCCTAATAATTTATTTATTTATTTTTACATAATTAGGAATTGCCAGCTGGTAAAAAGATATCCATCCCCAATTAACAAAAACCTCAACAGTTTATGTTAATGTTAACCCCAATTTTATGTACTTATAATTATTTATAAAATAATGACTTATATATTTGATTTGTACTTACATCTACTTGTGTCAACACATCAATAAATCCACATCCATGATTTGATGAACAACATAAAGCTCGTAAAACTCCTAACCATTCCGCACTTAAAGCATTACAATTTGCTGTCAGTTCTGCACATAACACAGATATTTCATTCAGCCTAAAATAAATTAATACAGTTATTTTTAAAATTAAATACAATGTATATATTATAATGAACAATTAAATTTTTATTTACTTACATATTTGCAAATAATTGTTAAAATGATAAAACTGAATATAAAAACAAGTCTTATAAAAACAGAAATTGTAGGTTTATAAAGTTTTATAAAAATAAAAATTTTTAGAGAAAAATTTATATGTTCTTTTAATTAAATTTTTGAGATTTGTATTCATATGTAGTTCTGCCAATATTGTACATAGACTTAACAATACTATAACAATACTATACCAATTATCATAAATTTGTAATTAAGCATGAGTACAAGTGAGTGATTGTGCATACACAAACATCTATGGCTCATTAAGGTGTTCTTGGTTCTATTCATACAATTAAAACATTCTGTTGTCATTTAAACTCTATTTTAATAGTTTAATTACTGATTTCAAAATTGCAATTCTCAAATAAATAAGGAACACAAATTTTTCAGTAAATAATACAGTGTGTCCCACTTAAAATTAGCCAAACTGAGGTGACAAAACATTAACGATGTATATTTTATAGGAAACTTTCATGAAACATTAGGAATGTAAATATTATAGAGGATATTTTAAAGGGAAAGTATCAGAGATCAATCACAGAACTATGGCACTGTGGCGCTACAATCTTTGGCTATATCTTGAGCTACTCCAATATTTTTTTTTTGTGGGTGTGTGTATTTTAGCTGGCAGCAGTGGCACTTTTGTGTGGTGTTTTTCTGAGGACTGTGTGTTGTGCTGAATCGAACTTTTTTGATATTAAATTTTTTTTTTGGTTTTTATATTTTTCAATATATTTATTTTATTTGTACAAAATAAAGAAATAATTTTTAACGATACAATAGCCACGACTGTTATTTTAAAAGTTTTCGTTAGGCTTAACATTGATGAAAATTTAATGCGAAGTGACACGCAACAGAGAAAAATTTCAACACGGGATAGGTTAATATATTTTTTTGTACATAATCGGTTGTCTGAAAAATAAGTTATCCAAACAACCCCAGTCCTCAATTAATTTGGATAAACGATACTCTACTGTAATAATAATTAAATTTTATATAAATATAAATTTTTGGGTATTTTTTTATTTTCAATTTATGACAATTTATCACAATTCATTTGGAGGGAAAATGCCATAAAATTTGTATTTTAAATATAGAATCAAAGTATATGGAGAATGTGGATAAAAATACACAGAAATTGTTTCTTTGTAATACTAAGATATTTAGCTATGTAATATATTTCTCAACAATATAAAGTTAAAACTTCAATTCATGAACAGTTTCATTCTTTGCAATTATATGAATTTTAACCTATTCCCTGGTATTCCCGACATATCTCGGTTTGCAATCTAATGACCTTGACTGGTGGACCCGAGATAGCTCGTTTCTTCATAGGAACATTTTTGAAACTAGATGCCACTGGTCGTTATAATTTTTATATTTAAAGCTAACTTCTGAAATATATATATTTTTTGTTTTTACATTTATTAATATATCTATGTTATTTGTGCAAAATAAAAAACTAATTTTAGATGATACAATAGCCACAATTATTTTTTTCAAAAACATGTAATTTTCATTAGGCTTAACAGTGACAAAAATTCAATGTGGTACAACATGCAACGAAGAAAAATGGGATGAAAATGGGAAAAATTCAACATGGGATAGGTTAATTTATATAAAAATAAAATAAAAACATAATCATACCTATCTGCATCTCTTGCATCAGATATACTATGTACTGCATTACATACAAAACTGTAGCGTGAAGAAGCATTTTCATTCAGCTGTTTAATCTGTTGCGGATCAACTTTCATTCTAAAATTGAAAGATAAATACTGATATAAAAAAATTTAAAATTTTTCTTATAACTATTAGAAGATAACAAATATTAACTCATAATACAGTTGAGTATCCATCTAGTCCATCCAGAAATTCATAATCCAGAAACACTCAAAATTAAGTAGAATTTGCAAATAGTACAATTTTCAGAATTCTAAAACATTTATACATATTCAGAATTTCTAAACCTCTTAAAGTAAATTTTTCCATTTAAGGTGAGTAATTCAACATATTCATGTGTATTTCTCTAATCTAATATATCATGTCCATTTCATGTGTGAAGTTTATAACAGTATATTAAATTTTTGTTTAAAAAGTTTTAATATAATATTTAACATCATTTCTTATATTTATGTACAATAATTAGATAAATTAATAAAATTTGTTGTTAAAGCATGATTGAAAATACTAGAGAACAAAAAAGTCACAGCACAACATTGATGGCCCAAAAAAAGTCATAATCTGGAATATCTAATGTTCAATAGTACTAGATGAAAGATGCTAAACTACAATAACATCTTAAAATTAAATTATTCATGTGTATCCATGGGAATCCATTGATTGTACACACACATACACAAAGACAATTAATATATATATTATATATATAATATATATATNTATCAGTTCGAAATGGGGTGGTTCCATAATACCCGCAGTGTTCCATAATACCACTTTCTCCTCTACAATTATTTTTTGTTACCAGCTCCAATAGTAAAATAAAATACTATTCTAAAGCTACCATGAATACACTGGGTGATCATCCCCCGTCTCCATCTAGAAATTTTACAAATCGCATCCTATTCATTATTAATGATGATGATATAATTGTATCAACACCAGTAATACTTGAATAAAAGCGGATATAGTGATAACCATTTTGAAAAAATTTCTCGCTGTTTTTGATTAATGATAAAGATATAAGATCGGCAAAATAAATAGCCCAGCATTCGATATTTATTATTCTTTTTTTACAAATATACAAGTAAATATATCAATATACTAGCAGGTAAGCCCAGCATTGCCCGAGCAAAAGATAAAAACAAACATTAAGATTATTTAGTTATATAAGTCAAATACATTCTATTATATTGTATTTGACTTATATAACTATAAAAGTTATCTTACGTAAGGATTTATCATAACAAGTAAACAATGTATTAATAACACATTTCAAAATTTTTTTACTGTAAATTGTGTACAGTAGAGGAATAAGGAATTTTTATTTAAAAATGTGTTAGATTAATCACTCGGTGTAATAAACCCTTACCTAAGATAACCTTTCTAGTTATATAAAACAAATACCATAATATAACAAACATTAAAACGAAATCATATAAAGAAATTGATTATTTTAGCCTACCATTGTCACGTTTATCGCGATACTCGGGTGTACAAAATGCCATAATTTCATTGGTCAAATAGACAGCAATTGAAAATACGATATATTAAATTATCGTATTTTTTCTAATGTTAGTTGTAATAAACTGCTTCATTCGCAGCCAAATATCAAATGGTAATCTATCAACGAATCAAATTTTGCGAAAAATATACCAAATATTTAAACTCTGCACCCTGGAAAACCAGTTTAAGCATATTTTGTGCAGGCTGGTAACCTTATATTATGTAATTTTCCTATTCAAATGCCACCACACTGTTGGTCCAATAGAAATAAAGGACTGTTGTGGAAGGGGGTTGAAGTAATTTGACTAAAAGTAATCGTTGACCACCTTCCAGAAAAGAGGATGGTCAACAACTACTAGTTAATACTAGTGCACTATTAATAATTGAAAAGTTATCTGTGTTGGATAGGTTGTTTTAGCCTCACATGTGATTGAAGTTGCTAACTTTAATGTTCAACTTCATATAAAACTCGTTTAAATAAAAAAATCTTGTAAAAATGCTAGAATAATTCTTTTTTCATGATGAGTGTTTAAATTTTGGAAACAGATTGTATAAACTGTGTGAGAAGTATGTTCTATCCAACACAGATCACATTCCTTTTATTAGATCAAAGATCAAAGAAAAGATTAAATTACAAATTATTGTTTCTATCTTAACAAAAATTATGCATGCAATAAAAGAAATTTTTAAACTAAATACAAAATAACCAAATATGCTTTTTAATCTAAAATAAAAATATTCAGATATTCAGTTATAGTTCTCAATGTTAATTCAAACAACTTTTAGAATATTTCAAGTTAAATTAATATATTAAAAAGTTTAAAAAACAATTTTAAAACTTTTTACCAAATAAACCAAAAATTTTTCATCTTGTTTTAATCTTCAAGTATCACAATTTGGACCAATTGTTGTCTTAATATTATAAATTTTATCTTAAGATTTAAAAACTTTCAAACTTTCCAGTTGTTGGCTATCAAAGCTTTTTTTTTTCAATTCCAAAAAAAAAAAATCATTTTTTAAGATAATCTATATTACTTGAAGAATTACATATTATAATATTAACATGATATAAATTCTATTTTTAAAAATTATGTATATAAAAATCAATTATAATAATTTAATCTTAAATTATTTTAATATCCAATTTATATATATGCAATAATCAAAATAACTAACCTTGGATTATTTATATAATCAATCATGTATGTTGTATTCCACAAAAGATTAAGAGCCGAAGGTTCATGTGACACATATAAAGCTTCTTCAATTTTTGGATTCACCAAACCAAATAATTCAGAATATTTTGTCTAAAAAATAAGAATATTACATCATCTTTTAAGTAAAACTAAAGGAAAAGTCAATGTAACAATGTAGTTTAGTATAAAGACTAATAAATTAATTATAATTTATGATATTAATAAGTTTAAATAAACAATAATTTATATAAAAATTCAGAAAACTTACTATTTTTAAATAATAATGTTGCTTAATACTGTTTATAATTTTCTGTTTTTACGTATAAAATTATTAAATATGTGTTAATGTCAAATTACATCTCTACAATTAACAAGGAGACATCCAAGCCTTGACATTTTGGATTTTGTTGAGATTTTAATGTCTTAACACATGCCTTCCACTAATGCACAGTAACAAAACCTGTACCAATTAGCAATAGTTTTAAGAGAAATCATTGTTTAAGCATTTCCATGAGGATTTTATATATATATAACATTCTCATATATATATATATATATGAGAATGTTTGTTTATTTGCTATACACTCCTAGGCTGTTCAATCAATTGCTAAGAAACTTGACAGTTATGTTTTACATACTTCTAACTTAGATAATGTCATACATCCCATCCAAAATATCTATTGGATTTGTGTAAATCATTCAATTTCTATCTACATTCAATTTGCTGATTTACAGGACTTTCTTAATTCTAATAAGTACTATCCAGTAGCTGAGTGCATAAAATCATCAAACTCTAGTAGTTAGTTGTGGGATCGAGTATGGCCAACAGGCTAGCCACATGGAGTTTTCCAGGTTTTCTTCACAGTAGTAACACCTAAATAGAGTCTAACTACCCAATAAAAGTCTTCCCAGGATGCATCTCCTAGACAGATTGCTCACATGTCACATTGCCGTAACCAAACCAAACTAATTCTAATGAGCAATTATTTATTGTGACATCATTACAATGTTGGGCTGCAACTTTTCATCACAATGTTCTCAATTCTTTTAGTGGTGGTCTTGCCCTTGTACATAATACTTTTCTTGTTAGCAATAGAGTTGTATTGATTATATCTAACTCCATTCANTTTAATATCCAATTTATATATATGCAATAATCAAAATAACTAACCTTGGATTATTTATATAATCAATCATGTATGTTGTATTCCACAAAAGATTAAGAGCCGAAGGTTCATGTGACACATATAAAGCTTCTTCAATTTTTGGATTCACCAAACCAAATAATTCAGAATATTTTGTCTAAAAAATAAGAATATTACATCATCTTTTAAGTAAAACTAAAGGAAAAGTCAATGTAACAATGTAGTTTAGTATAAAGACTAATAAATTAATTATAATTTATGATATTAATAAGTTTAAATAAACAATAATTTATATAAAAATTCAGAAAACTTACTATTTTTAAATAATAATGTTGCTTAATACTGTTTATAATTTTCTGTTTTTACGTATAAAATTATTAAATATGTGTTAATGTCAAATTACATCTCTACAATTAACAAGGAGACATCCAAGCCTTGACATTTTGGATTTTGTTGAGATTTTAATGTCTTAACACATGCCTTCCACTAATGCACAGTAACAAAACCTGTACCAATTAGCAATAGTTTTAAGAGAAATCATTGTTTAAGCATTTCCATGAGGATTTTATATATATATAACATTCTCATATATATATATATATATGAGAATGTTTGTTTATTTGCTATACACTCCTAGGCTGTTCAATCAATTGCTAAGAAACTTGACAGTTATGTTTTACATACTTCTAACTTAGATAATGTCATACATCCCATCCAAAATATCTATTGGATTTGTGTAAATCATTCAATTTCTATCTACATTCAATTTGCTGATTTACAGGACTTTCTTAATTCTAATAAGTACTATCCAGTAGCTGAGTGCATAAAATCATCAAACTCTAGTAGTTAGTTGTGGGATCGAGTATGGCCAACAGGCTAGCCACATGGAGTTTTCCAGGTTTTCTTCACAGTAGTAACACCTAAATAGAGTCTAACTACCCAATAAAAGTCTTCCCAGGATGCATCTCCTAGACAGATTGCTCACATGTCACATTGCCGTAACCAAACCAAACTAATTCTAATGAGCAATTATTTATTGTGACATCATTACAATGTTGGGCTGCAACTTTTCATCACAATGTTCTCAATTCTTTTAGTGGTGGTCTTGCCCTTGTACATAATACTTTTCTTGTTAGCAATAGAGTTGTATTGATTATATCTAACTCCATTCAGGGGAAAGTTTTGAATTGAAGTAATGTGATTTCCATTTCAAACCAGATGTTTGTATATAGTTAATCTAGACCTCCTACCCTTAAGCTTTCCAAATCTGATCTTGACTTCATCCTTTCTCGAAATTAAAGAAGGAATGACAGACAGACAGAAGATGACAGTCGAAATTTATAGGTCTACAATTTTTTCAAATTGCAGCCCAATAATTTTTTGATAAATGCAATATTTATAAGAACATACTTCTCACACAGTTTATACAATCTGTTTCCAAAATTTAAACACTCATCATGAAAAAAGAATTATTCTAGCATTTTTACAAGATTTTTTTATTTAAACGAGTTTTATATGAAGTTGAACATTAAAGTTAGCAACTTCAATCACATGTGAGGCTAAAACAACCTATCCAACACAGATCACTTTTCAATTATTAATAGTGCACTAGTATTAACTAGTAGTTGTTGACCATCCTCTTTTCTGGAAGGTGGTCAACGATTACTTTTAGTCAAATTACTTCAACCCCCTTCCACAACAGTCCTTTATTTCTATTGGACCAACAGTGTGGTGGCATTTGAATAGGAAAATTACATAATATAAGGTTACCAGCCTGCACAAAATATGCTTAAACTGGTTTTCCAGGGTGCAGAGTTTAAATATTTGGTCTTTTTTTTTTTTTTTTTTTTTTGAAAACTTTGATTCATTGGCAAATTCACAGCTGAATATCAAACAATAATTTATTGTTTGATATTCAGCTGTGAATGATACAATTTCTTAGAGTTAACATTAGGAAAAAATTAAATTTATTTTAAATTTTTTAAGATATCATCTTTTCAATTGGTGTCTACTTGACCAATGAAATTGTACCATTTTTTACCACTCGAATATCATGATAAACATGACAATGGTAAGCTGAAATAACCAAACTCTTTATATGGTTTTCGTTTTAATGTTTGTTGTATTATAGTATTTGACTTACATAACTACAAAGATTATCTTAAGTAAGGTTTTTTAAAAAGTGTTAGATTGGTCACTTGGTGTGATAGCACTGAGTGACTAATCTAATGCTTTTTAAAAATTTTTTATTTCTCTATGATACACAATTTAAAGAATTTTTATGGTGTTTTAGATTGGGCACTTGTGTGATAAACTCTTACAAAAGATAATAACTCTTCTTTGTAAATATAAATCAAATATTATAACATAATATAAAGGTTAGAAGTATGAAATAACCTATTAATCTTAATCTTTGCTGTTGTTATTTTTTGCTTGAGCAATGTTGTGCTCATATATCTAAAATACTATTTTTGGCCAAATATAATTTCTAATAATTCACTATATTGCACACTTCAGAAAAAATTGTGAAAAGCAAGATAAACTCATGATATCAATCTTTCTTTGTAACCTGGTACTTTACTCACTGGTCCATACAAACTTGTTATGATTAGTTTATCGAACTTTATATATAATGCACATAGAAAAGTTTAAACAATGATTTATCATTAAACTATTCTCATTGGTACAAGTTATGTTACAATGCATTAGTAGAAGGAGTGTACTAAAACATTACAATTTCAACAAAATCCAAAATCACAAGGCTTGGATGTCTCCTTGTAAGATATTTGTCTATGTCCCTTTATTTAAAAATTTCAAATAAGTATTATCTTTGAAGTTTCTAATCTTTTAGAATATGAAAGGTTATTTTAACCAATATGCTAAATTCATTTTAAAAATATGTGACAAATACAAAGCATATATATTTCAAATATTTGTATTCTTTTAAAAATGATAGCCATTTTAATTTCATTTCTTCCCCATTTACTTAAGGAGAAAAAAAAAGAAAAATTCCTTAAACTTTCGTAAAACTTGATTCTAATATTATTTATGAAAAACTATTATTATAAATTCTTACAAATTTAAACACTTTCAACTCATTACGAAACACATCATTTATATATTAAAATTCAATCAATTTATTGAATTTGATATATGTTGAAAGACATTTAATCAGAAATTCATTTTTAATATAAAATAAAGGATTAAGAATGATTAATCACTTAAATTTAGTATTAAGTGTATAATATTTTTTTCTTTCTTTACAAAAATCAATTATTAAATCATTTGAAAATTAAAATAAACTATTGAAAACAAAAATATTGAATAAATTTTGTAAACACATTAGTCAATATTAATAGAAAACTAATATATATTACTATTATTTTTTAATTCTGCTGTATCAGAAAAAGCATAAAATAAAGCAGAGGTTCCCAACTTATTTTTATCATGGAACCCTTTTATTCTTAATAAAAACATTGGAACCCTACAGATATTAATGAATTAAGGCATACTAGGTAGCCATTTTACACCAAAACCAAAACTGGAAGTAAAACTATAAAACTACAATTAAAAATCAAATCAGAATTAATTAATTAAAATTGAAATAAAATCAACTGAAAATTAAAACAATGTTCTTAAAAACAATTTAAAAATTGTTTTTTGAAATTTTTAAATTGTAAATCAAATTTATTTTTAAATTTACATTATTTGTGTGCAGTGGTGATGGAACATTTTGCTTTTAATATATACATACAGATTTAACAATTGTATTTTTATTTATATGTTAGATCCTTTTTAAGTTTATGATTTCTTTAATGATTTTATAGCTTTAGTTTATGTTTTACTGTTTTTATGGTTTCCATTTCTCTGCCAAACATTATATCATGATTTCAGTTTGTTCTGTTACTGATAAATTGGTCCCCACTGTTTATAAAGTTATAAGTAACTTTAGCACATGTATAGTCTTGGATCCAGTCCTCAAATCATCATGCAATGACTCAATCCAAGACTAGAACAATTACACCTCACACCCCAAATCTGCATTCATACATCACTTGATGCAATGGATTTTATTGTGAAACCCCAAATTTTTATTGGTGGAACCCTAGGGTTCCACAGAACACAAGTTAGGAACCCCTGGAATAATGCATTTAAAATCTTCATTTCAAAATTCAACAATTAATTATGACTTTTTAGAACTGTTTAAGATATATAAAAGAATTTATTTTATGCAATATTGCAGGAAAAAATCTTAACAGAAAGAAATATTTTGAAAAATATACTTCTAATATGAAAAAGGTTTGTTTTCATATTTTTGAAATTATAATTTATAAATAAAATTCTTTTTCTGTAAAAAATAACTTTTTATAAAATTAATAATCTAAGCTTTATCAATTTTAATATAAAAAATTTTATCTAATTACCCTTAGGAAAGAGCAACATGCATATAAATCATAAAGGTAGCAAAGAATACATCTTTCCGCAGAACTGCAATCAGCAGGATCAGAAACATGCTTTGTGATTTTGCATAAACTGTAATTAGAAACTGGCAATTAATTAATAAACTATTCAATTCTTAATTACATAAATACTAAAATAAAAAAGTCTATATAAATTTATAAATAGTTGTTAAATCAAAAACCTAAAAATAGTAATTTATTTTCAATTAATAAAATTTACATTATTTTAATATGAGTTTTTAAAATTTATATTAATCAATACTAATAAAGATTAAATAAAAAATGAATATAAAGATATATAGTATTTCACAATAACTATTTAATTTCTATTTGGTATCATGTAAAGTTGAATCAAAAATTAAAACATCCTTATCACAAATATACTATACAGTGGGTGATTGGTTAATGAACAGTTCGAACTGCAAACAAATTGGACAACGAACACTTTTGTGAAAGATTTTATGTTCAGATAATGAACACAGGAAGCGATGCTGCGTTTAAGATTTGTAAAACTATTTTAATGGCAATTTATACTTTGTACAAACATTTTAATGGCATCTATACATGGTTTATGGAACAAAACTTTTACAGTTATATACATAACTTTTTTTGCACTAGTTAATTTCTGTTCTCTGAAATTTTTGTAAGTGCTTTTCTGAACTTTTTATTTAAAAAATTGATAATATTATGGAATCTAAAAAGAGTGGAGTGTCAAGAACTGTGTTCACTATAAAAACTAAGCAAGAGCTAATAGCCAAGGTAGAGAGAGTACGAGTAAAAAAATCTGATATTGTAGGCAGATGACTTCAATAGGTCTACAGTAGATACAATCTTAGCTGAGAAAGATATAATAAAAAAGATTCAAGCAAATAAAGGAGTAACGAAAATCAAATCTGAGAAGCAAAGATGTGCCATCCATGAAAAAATGGAAAAACTGCTTTTAGTTTCTTACTAAATGTAAATAAACATAGTAAGAAAGTATATAATTTTTTATTTATTTTTTGGGGTCTCCAGAACAAATTAATCAAATTCCCACAAAAATCTCTGGTAAATCAATAATCGGTTAATGAACAATTTGGATAGTGAACATAGTCTTGGAACATTAACTGATCACCCACTGCATTTTGTTCGCTATTTTTAACAAATTTAAATTGTATTTAATTAAAAAATATATTATGATTTTCATAAATTTTTTATCATATTTGATTATTCTTATATTTATTCTGACAGCTATTTAGCAATAAACAATATGGGTTGAAAATTATAAACCTTTAGTCTGAAGATGACATTTTTTCAAACTTTGAAGAAAATTTACAAACAACAACAGATGAGAGAAAAATGAATTTCAAAACTTTGACTTGTGTATCAATATAATAAATAAATCCATAATAAGAAACAAAAGGAATAGAAACTGATGATGAAAATTAGAAAAATCTGATAATCTTATGTACTGTACCTAAGTTCAGTCACTAAACAGGAATGAAACAATATAATATAGCTAACTAAAATGTATTTAATGTATTTGGAAAAAACTAATGAAAATCTAGTAAAAAGAAATTTTTAACAAAGGAAATTTTAAAAAAAGTTCTTTTTTGACTTTTTAAATATTTATCAGAGCTGGATGAAGTATTCTATTTATTTAATAACAGAACAAAATGGAAGTTGATTTGGTTCATTTGTTGCTAAATAGATGATAGGAAGAATATAAAAGAATCAAATATATTAATTACAGAAATAAAAATTTGTGCATCTCAAAGTAAACTATTAATGGTTTAAACTTACCCTTCAAACAAAGCACATGTTTGTTCTTGAGAAACTAATAAACAACAGTGATATTTGTATAGTACACCAACAATAAAAAGACCAAGTGAAGTAGCATAAGATCCAGCTACTATTGAACCTTTTTGAGATAACTGATTCTCTACTTCAACTAATTCTCTGAGAAGCTAAATATAAAAAATTATTCATATTACAAAAATTACATTATTATTTTTGATTTGTTTTAATTCTATCAAAATAAAAATATTTTAACTAAATTTTCATTTTTTTTCCTATTAACATTTAAATTTAATAAACTCATTTCCAAATTGACAAAGTTACTCACACTACAGTGAACAGATTAATTAATAACCTGCCAAAAATTTTTCTATTGGCATGCAGCCATTGGTTTCCTGTTTGATACAAGGTGTCCAAAAAGTTACAGTGTAGTAAAAAAGATTTAAGTTAATGAAGATAATAAATGGTGGTTCCTTTTTTGGGAGGACTTTGTCTTCAGATATTTAAGATTTAAGTTAAGTTTTAATAAAAGTGAAGTTTTATGTATGATATTCAGTTTCTCTTTCAACAAATGCTGGAAATATCCCCCAGAGACCCCAAAATCCAGGAGAGAGATCCAGAGACCTAGCAGGCCAGATTCATTAAGAGATTTTGTCTGACAAAAAAGTTTTCCAAAAACCAGAATGTCTATTAGCAAGCAGTAATGTCACCTACTTCAAAGTGGAAATGTGATACATACATCTTAAAGATCTTGTGTGCAATGTCGTATGTATAACTTTAATGTCAATACAAATTTCTCACTGCACAGTAACTTTTTGGACACCTTGTGTAAATGCGTTGAGCTCAGGAAATTACAGTGAAGATTAGATATAGTTTTTCTTTTTTTACTTTTACAGAGCACTTTTGTAGATTTTATTTGATTATCTTGTACATTTACTTTCATTTAAATCAATAAATACAAAGTAAGCTATGTATAATATCAATTTCTTTTAGTTTCAGTTTAATTACTGAAATTGTGCCGATACACATTTGAATTCTGTAGCTATAATGTGTAATATGTGTAAACATAGTAAACTTCAAAAAATATTTTTAGGTTGTTTTCAGCATTACAAAGTCAAATTTTATGTTGTCATAGTATTACAAATCAATTTATCACAAAATAAATTGATATTTATATTACTTAACAAACTAACTAAATAGTTTAATCTTTATAATTAGTTTTTTTATTAAGTTTATTCTAAATTAAAATATTAAATTAAATAATATTAAAAATACTAAATAATAATTACCTGAATTGTAAATTCAATTAATCCATGAATGTTTAGGGCAGTTTCCATCAATTCAAATAGAAAAGAAATGTATTCCACAAGTGGCAAATAACTGGAATTTCCAAGTGCAAAAGAATTCAACATTTCAACAACTGAAGAAGCACAAGATAATGTGACTACATGTTGATCAAAATATGAAAGACTTTGAAATCGTGCTACTACAGAATCGAAACTGAAACCTTCTTTAGCATGTTTTTTAATTTTAGCACCATCTGCAATATCCATGCACGTTTTCTTGCTAAAGAGTTTCATGATTTCTTTAGTCACCTTTTTTACGACGTGACGAGCTTCGTCTCTTGCTTTTCCAACTCCAAATAGTAAAATATGCCGTTGATTGCAATCGTGATACGAAGATTCGTCTTGAGGCAATGGGAAATGGGTAGTGTAGAGAAGATGACGAAATGTACTATTCACTGTGGTCGACCCACCACCATTGCTACTGCTGCTACTGCTTCCAATACCACCAAGGACGCCATCTCCAACACTTGGACAACTAGGAACAAGAGGAGGATGGGCCAAGGGGGTGGAGGCATTTAAGGGATTCATGTCATCTTTGTCTGATCCCACGGAATCTGGAAGAAGAATGTCTAGTAGTCCAAGCATAAGAAAAAAAAGAGTTTTAGTATTTGGACACTGAGGAATTCGGGTACAACACTATATACCTATTTCCCTATAGCATGCAATTTAAGGTATAAAGGAATGGGGTCCAAATCTTCAATCATGCAGCAATTTCAAAAAAATAACATGCACCATCAACCTAAACTCCCAATTTGTAATAAGTAGTTCATGCCCATGCATGAAAATAGTGAATAGGATCAAATAATAATAATAATAATAACAATAATAGTAATAATAATAAAATACAAAATTATTAATTTTATGTATCATAATTTTATCATCAATTAAAACTTTATTTTTTATAATCATAAATAATTTTGAAAATAAAATATTTGATAAATTTATAACAACAACAACAATAATAATAATAATAATAAGTGTTGCAAAATAATTTAATCAAGTTTTCTTGCAAAATTTTAGAATTATAAAAGATTTTTTGAAGAAATTATTTACGATTATGAGATTTATAAGTTTAGAATATGATGACAATAATAATCTGAACATAACAGTTACAAACATTATGACTTTTAAGTTTTAAAGCGATCTAACCAAACAACTTTTTTTCAATTAAAACAGTTTTCTGTACAAAATAAATAATGAGAAATAAATATTTAATTGAAAAAAAAGTCTGATAAAGCAAATTTAAAAATTAGAAATCCTAACAAACATAATTATTGTGTTTTTACTTTTATCATTATATTCTAAGCATAAATGATATCATTTTAAACAAGTTGTTTTTGTCAGCAAACATAGTAAAGAGAATCAATTTTTGCTGTAATTTATTGTTCATGTTTAAATTGACAGTTCTTGAATAATAAATAATATCTTCAAAAGCATTTCATAAACTTAGAAATTATGCAAGAAAAGATCTGCTAAATTATTTTTGCAAAATTCTATATATTGATATATTTATTTAGAGCTAGCTATCAAATTATCATTAAACTTCTTTTAATTTTCACTTTTTGGTAACAATTTGCTTAATACATTTTTGAATTATAAAATCTATTCATGTAAGATATAGCAATTATTATTTAATAGATTTCCTATTCAAAAATTTTCTTTAATACTAATAACCTTTTTTTTTTTTTTTNATATGTCACGAATAAAACAGGACAGGTAAATGGGTTTATTTGAAGATCCGTTTGTCAAAATTTGATTTTACAATGTTTGCATTTCCAACTTCCCAATGAGCAACACATGCACAAATCTCACACTCTTGCCTGTTTGTAGAAAAAGTGTCACCATTTTGTATTTTATTTTGACTCAGTTCTTGGTCCCTGACTACTTTCAAGTTTAGTTTTTTTTATGTGCGCATAATTTGGGCATCTAATACTCTGTGCCAAATTGCAACTCCTGACATGTACTTCTTCATGCCTCCTAGGTGTCCAGCTGTTGATGGCATTGCGATTTTATAAACAAGACATAGTCTTGTTTATAATTGTCAATAATAAGCTATGCATAAAAATTCAATAACACTCAAATTAAATAATTACAAAGTTTTACCTCATGTTTAATTGATTCAGGTCGATGATCAGGAGGTTCAAACATAGGCAATGGTTCTGGAGGTCTACTTGAATCATTCAAGCCAGCAATACTTAAACTAGTCATTCCAATATATCCAGCACTACCTGGAGCAGGAGAAAGTCCACGAGAAGGATCATGCATAAATCCTGTAAGGGATGGTTCATGCATAAAGAGAGGCTTGTTTACAGTTTGAATATTATTTGGAACTGTTGCTACTTGTTGATTTGTTGTACTAGAAAAACTACCCCTTGAAACCAATTTACACATATAAGCATCATGAGAAAAAACATCATGGCGAATCAATTCAGCAAACAGCAGATTTGTAGGGATTATTTTACTTATATCTTTGTTTTAAGTAAGCTGCAGCTGTGACTTAATTAAAAATAACAATTTTTTAAATTTACAATAGCAATAATTTATAGATTTAACCATAAAGTTATCTATACAATCAGTTAAATCAATACAAATCTAAAATAAATCAACACAAAAAAATATACTCTCTACAACACCATTTCTAAGCTCTTCTACAAATTCATTACTGCATCATTATTGTATTTTTGAAGACACTTATTTAAATTGTCTCCAAAAATAGTCCAAATTTTAATTAAATTCAATATATGAAGTATTATCAATGAATATAATTGAAGTGACAACAAATAAACAGATAAAATAAAGTTTGCTTGTGCACAAATAATAACAACTTTACTATAACTTGCTTTCTCCAATTGATAACTTATTCTATATGTTAATTATAAGATGCAATAAACTGTAAAAATGTATCTTGATTTCAGAGACATTAAAATGTGAAAAAATGCACTATAGAATCAAAGATATGTAGTAGATAATTTTATAAAAAAATTCAATTAAAACCTTCAATTAAATATGATATAGTATGTCTGTATAACAATTGGACTTATTTGAAAAAGATATATTATTAAATGCATTAACTGAAAGAAGATGAAAGCTAATTCCATAACAAGAATCAAGTATACAGGTGTCCCTTGATAGTATGACGTTTTGTAATCCAACATGCTCAGTAGTCCGATGCATCTCCCGTCAAGGTACCCGTCCCCATTACGTGTCTGCTTGCACAGAAACACGTCGTGATGCGAGTCTCCCCACCAATTCTTACACGACGACACACATTTCGTGTGTTTTCCGTGAGCAGTTCTGTTCGAACAGTTTGAGTAGGTAATATTGTAGGTAATATTGTATTGGAGTAGGTAATATTCTGTAATCCGACATCCCTTTGGTCCTGGATTACAGAATATTACCTACTCCAATACAATATTACCTACTCAAACTGTTCGAACAGAACTGCTCACGGAAAACACACGAAATGTGTGTCGTCGTGTAAGAATTGGTGGGGAGACTCGCATCACGACATGTTTCTGTGCAAGCAGACACGTAATGGGGACGGGTACCTTGACGGGAGATGCATCGGACTACTGAGCATGTTGGATTACAAAACGTCATACTATCAAGGGACACCTGTATACTTGATTCTTGTTATGGAATTAGCTTTCATCTTCTTTCAGTTAATGCATTTAATAATATATCTTTTTCAAATAAGTCCAATTGTTATACAGACATACTATATCATATTTAATTGAAGGTTTTAATTGAATTTTTTATCTGTTGGATTATCAAGGGACAGCTGTATTTTTTATTTAAATTAATCATTAGTAAAATATAATCCAGTTTTCTCTTTACAAACTATCCTCCTTTCATAAAACAATTATTATTTCCTCTGTAGATTTTAAAGAAAGAGCACTTTTAAAATGTTCAATCTAAAATCAACCTCAAATTCAACTGGTTAAAATCACACAACACATTTTCAAAACTATAAATATAAAAAAAATTCTTTCAGAAAATTAAAATAACAATAAAAATTTTAAATGTTATTTTAAAATATTTTTGACATAGAAAAATGTTATTAAAAATAATAAACCTTAAAAAACTTTTTTAAAATAAAAAAGATTAATTAAACACTACATCTTTTTTATTTTCTAAAAATAAATTTGTATGTTTTTACATTTTCAACTGAATTTTGAAAATAATTTTAGAATGAATGTTTAAAAATATTTTAACTTCTTAAGATTAATCTAGAATTTATAAATATGTTGTATTCTAATAATGAAGCTAAACTGTTTTGAAAATATTAACAAACTAAAATTATTTAATTTCTGAAAAGGCTGCTTATCAATTTAATAAATCTATTCCACTGTAAATTGCTACTTGAATCTAAAAATAGATATATCACTATATTACATGAATAGATTACTTCATAATTTGTTCTGTCAAAAAGTTAAACTTATTACAGAATTCAAATTTAATTACAATTTATTAAAAAATCTCACTCTTATATTATATAAATAATAATGATATTTGAATTATATTTAAATCTAACATATTTCTTTATAATTATCTAAGACTTTAATCTAAAAAATAACTGTTAATTCTATATTTCATGCAATGTGCAATAACCATTCACCATATAGCATGCATAATCCATTTTTGTTAAAATGAAAAAACTAAGATTCATATAATTGAATTATTATATTTAATTTTATATTAACAATTATTTCAATATATATTTGCAAATATTAAATTTAAAATAATTGAATGATTTCAATGATTTTATTTATCCAAAGAATCTTCTGTGTATAGTTTTTAATAAATTATTTTCTGTATTGTCTTACCATGTGCTAAAAGAAACAGCAACGTTTGTTAGAAAAAGAATGCATTTACTAAAGAATGTTATTGTAATATATCAAAGTTAGAAAATTTAAAATGTATGCAGTGTTTAATAGATATATGATTAACTATGGCTACCTACCGGGTTGATCTGTCATATTTTGCTGACCTTCTTTAATATTTTGTAACAATTTATCTAAATCAGCATCAATACGTGCATCATCCATATCCATATGAGCATCCCAAGGTATCTATTTAATATATAAAATACATAAAAGATACTATAAAAAAAAAAAAACTATAAATTTTATTAAGCTGCATTAGAAAATAAGGATATCAATAAAACAAAACAATGGCAAATCAATTTCTTTTATAGAGTATATGAAGAGAATAAAAATTTATCTGTATATACAGGTATCCCTTGCTTAATGTAGGATTTAATTAATGCATGAAATTAAATGCAGCAATCTCTTCATACAGGTGGCAGAAGTTTTAATTAACAGCCATTTTTACTTAACATAGATATGTTTTTCTCAGCAAATAAGATGTTGGTAAATTTGCTATTTTCATCTGGAAGGTTTAATTACAATAGCTGTGAAATTTAACACATTACTGCTAATGTGATATTGTTTTCTTTGTTCAGAAGCTTATTTTAAAACTTCAGTACAAATTTTTTTTAATATAAATTAAATCAAAGTGTCTGCAGATAAAATGCATATCAGACATATTATGTATGCTTTTTAAGTTTCATAAAGGATATAATGCTATACAAACAGTAAAAACTACTCATAGTGTATATGGGAAAGATGGGCACATCAAATGTAGTTTTGAAAGTTTCGTTTGGAAATTTTGAACTAAAGGATACAAAATGTATGAGACACCCAAAATCCATTGATGAAGAGAAATTTCAGGAAGAAGTTGTTAATAATCAACAAATAACAACTCATGAATTTGCAAAAAATCTTAGCAAGTCAGCAAAATGATGATTGTGTTCTGTATGCATTAAGTGAAAAAAACAAACTGGATCAGGTATAATTTTGTCTGAAGAAGGTTGGCAGCTCTAAGGTTTCAGTTTATTTTTAAATTAGTTACTCATTTTTATTGCAGAATAGTTTTCTTATGAATGACAAAATTAAAATTAAAATATTTGTTATTAACCAAAAATTTCTTCTAGCAGGTGGTGATTATTCAAATACCATGTTAATGTACTAATTGATAATGTACCACTGTGTTTGAGTATTTGATTAATGTGATTTTGATATATGTAGTAGCATCGAGAGATCAATTAATCGCATTAATCAAGGGATACCTGTACTCTAAAAAAGAAAACTGCATGTATCTTACAAGAACTAGAATACACATTTAAAGGCTTTCAAGGTAATCTATGTACAAATTGATAATGTTCAGGAGTATATAATTTATTATAATGAATGATCTATGACTCTGGAACATTATTTGTAAATTCCCCCCTCTTTTACAAAATACAATATAGCCAATTTTTGAAGTCTGAAATATGAAATAAAAAAAGAATTGATATATATATATATATATATGTATACACACCTATATATGCGGTCGTATATAAAGTTATATTAAGCTAGCTGCAGATGGATATTGTATTCACCCTGGGATCCAGGGTCGGTTGCGGGGCTGTTGTGTATTTGTGTGTTGAATTGAATAGAGGAACGACATAACTTATAGCCAGTGTTAAAATGGAGGTAGCCGGAGTACAGTAGTAAATTATCCTTTTATAAATTTGTTAGCGCTGAGCTCGTTTTACTAATGAGTCGAGCACTCATTCGTCTTGGATTACCTAGTTAGTGCCACAATGACACTTGACTTCTAACCTTGCCTGTGTTGTTTAATAAAGAGAATGACTAGCGAGCATTTATTCCTTCGCTTCCTCAATTGCCGGAATTAATGTTCGGAATTTACTTCTCGGGCTATTTATCTTCTTTATCTTCTTACTCGCTAGTTAAATAAGAGGTTCTCGACCTCTCGACCTGTCCGAAACGTCCACCGAAGAGTCGAGATTCCAAGAGGATGGAAGGAACGAGGATGACGAGGTCCTGGCACGTTTTGTCGAATATGTCNAAATTTTATTTATCAAAGAAAATACTACGTGTTCAGTCCTAGGGTCAGAGTCCGCTTCCTAGAACGATTGTGGGTGGTACTGTCACCACCTGATTCGGTGGGGTGAGATGCGCCACCCCTTTAAACGACGTGACAGTGGGTTAGTCTGCATAGCTCTCATACTCGTGTTGTAGTTTAGCATCAAATCAGGTTAAATGGCTAGCTTAAAAAGGAAAGCATTAACATTAGACTGCAAAGTAGAAATAATTAAAGCAGTTGAAAGTGGAAGAAAAAAGGCAGATGTATGCAGAGACTTTGGTTTAGCAAATTCTACAGGTCTCGTAAAACTTCATCGGAAATAATAAACAAAATCTACGACTTAGAAAATGACATTGATAAATGAATTTTAGGTGAAAAATGCCTACAATCTAAAATAACTGACTTTTTTGAAATTTTTAATTACATTGTTGTAAATTTAGACATAATAATGTAAATAAAGTTGATTTAAATATTTAGTTTGCACTTTTATACATACAATATTAAATTAGATGAATTTTATAATAGATTCTTAAACAGACTTGATACTTTTATGGGACTGTATATATATGTAATAAAAATTGTAATATTATAAAGTTGTAAAAATAAAAATATAAAAATATTACATATAAAAGTAATTTTTAATATTTATGAATAATAAATTGAATATATATTCATTGTGAAATTTTTATTAAATTAATTTATAAACAATTATATATATACACAGCTTTCTCAACAGATAGACTAAACCATATCAATTCATGAAACCACCCAAATTTTTTCTGAGCATAATCCTTTTTATTTCACTAACATTTTCAATCTATTTTCAATATAGGTCTTCCACAGGTTTTAGAATACAATATAAATGTTCCAAAATAGTTTTTTCAGTTTGTTATATAAGCAAACTGAAAAAAATCCTAAAGGGATCAAAAGTGATCTGCCTTTGTCAATCTCATTATTCTGAATGAAAACTAAAAACTGGATAAAATTCAGTTTTCAAAAAGTAAAATAGTTCATGTGAAGGATAAGATACTAACAATGTTTTTCAACAGGATTAACACCTAAAGTAAATCTGACATCAGAATTAAAACTAAAAACAATTAGTTTCCTTGAATGGCCATCTAAATTTTTAGGTTTGTAGTACATTAAGTATTTATAATAGTGAGGTTAAATTTCAAAAAATAAGGAGAAAAGATTTTACAAAATTATATCAATAATGAGAAAATATTTTGATACGTTGACTACTTTAGCAGACTGATATTAAAAAATACTCAAATTAAAACAAATTTCTAACAGCTATTAACTGTAGTGTAATAAAATATTTTTCACTGGTTCAAATCAATATCTTGAGTCACAGCTTTATTGATAATACTCTATTAAAGTTATTCAAAGAAATAAAAATACCAGTAAACATTTTTGGTTTTATTATTCAAAGTATTTTCAGATCATATATTTGAAACAAATTCGAAACCAGAACATTTTACATTTAAATTTGTTTCTGATACTGATCTGAAGATTTCTTTTTATTAGAGTGAACTTATTTTTGAACCTGTTATTGTAGCAATATTTTTTAATAAAATCAATTATTCATATAAATGACAAAAAATATGATAAATTTTGTATTAAACTAAGTACATGATAAATATTTTGTGTGAAAAAATTTATACTGTATATAAAATTTTTAAATAAAATAATAAAAAAAAAAAAAT